ATGGGTTTATACTAAATATTCACCAAAAGTTAGTATATTAAGAGCAGCTCTAACCAAACACAGCATCAATGAAGATCTCCTCAGCACCAGTGACATTCGCCATGGCCTCCAGATCCCGATAGTGCCAACTATTTGCCTTCACATTGTTTTGAGGGACAAATGGTTTCCGCTGCTCGGTTAAACGCACCACGCCAACAAGATCCACATCCTCAGTCACCTTTTAGAAAATATAAACAACCTCAAAAATTATTTAACATGTAGAAAGATTAAGATAATGTAATTTAAAAAAATCTAAAGTCTCAGAGAAAAATTAATACAGTGAGACCCTGATGATAGTTGATAATGTTTATGCATGGATTTGATTCAGTAGAGATTAATGAAGACATTATTACCTGTCCCTTCATCCTGGTTTCTGGTCTGATCTTAGCTTTGGGTACATAACCTCTGTTCACCAAGATAGTGATCCTAAAAATTGATCCAGAGAGTTTTTACGCATTAGAGTGCAAGGCAAGTGTACATAATTCAGTGGAATCTAAATTGATTGTGTTTTTACCCCAGATCAGTGCAGTAGAATGGAGTAATGACATTAGCTCCACTCTCAGCGCTGGAGGAAATCCTGCCTGCCTCACGGGTCTCTCTCTCAGGGTCCACAGGGGAGCGGGGCAGGACATACAGCTCTTTTGAGTGATCAAAACGCCCACGCACCTTCACCCGCCTGTACTCCAGCTGTTTGATTTCCATAGAACTGTCACACACAGATTACATTACCACTTCATCACAACGTCTAAGCTTAATAACACTGGAGAGTGTGGCACTCAGATGTGGAGAAGGCACAGACTCACTCCATGGGCAGTGGGATAGGCTCTGAAGTCGTCAGGCTCTGAAGATCACGGATCAGCTCCAACTTCCACTCTCTGCGTTTTAACTACAAAATCAAAAGCTAATTGCAGTTTTAGTAATGAATTTTATTTTATTTTTTACAGATAAACACCACCATCATGCATGTACCTGCCATGTTCCAAGACAAAAGGTGGTGGCAGGTATTAACAAGAGTAACCACTTCAGGAAGGAGTCTTCTCCTTTCTCCGTTCCCGCAACAGTGGAACTTGAGCGCTGACTAAACCTGGATAGGTTACCTATGAAAAAAAAACACTTTAAAAATCAGAAGATTTGTTCAAGCATAATGCCTGAACGAAAGACAGCTATATTTTAGTCTCTAGCCTATTAGAAACTCACTCTAACTGTTAACCTTTTTTTATTTTACACTACCATTCAAAAGTTTGGGGTTCAACAGAAATTAATAATTTTATTCAGCAAGGATGCATTAAATTGATAAAAAAAGTGACAAAGTATACTTTTACATTGTTTTTAAAAATTATATTTCAAATTAATGTTGTTCTTTTAATTTCCACAAACAGCACAACAGTTTTTTTTTCATTATTAATAAGAAACGTTTCTTGAGCTGCAAATCAGCATATAGAATGATTTCTGAAGGTTCATGTGACTGAAGACTGGAGTAATGATGCTATATTTTAAAATAAATTCAAATAGAAAACAGTTATTTGTAAAAAAAAAACATTCAAAATCTTAACGAACACAAGTCTATTGAGAATTAAGAATTTAATAAATGAGAAACGTAAAGAGAATTACACCGGAGCACTCGGGCATCCTGCCGTCTGAATAAACCATGTCGCGTCACAAACAGGGTCCTCTTGGGTGAGATGAGAATCTGAGAAAAGAACAAATGAACTACTACACTTTAACGGTCAAGAATAAATTACAAACATTTTGATAGTAAATAAACATTATTTTAATGGAAATCTGCTTTATGAGGTGGAAAAAAATGAAAATGAACTTACACTTCCTCGAATGATCTTAAATGTATTATGAGAGAACATCAGCATTAATCTGAAACTGCTCATGATAGCTGGGATTGTTGTAACCTAAACAGCAACTGTCAGGTCGACTACATAACATGGCTTGTGCTTTCAGGGGAATGCTTTCAATGTAACCATTTCCGGGGATTCTGAACCATCATGCGCATGCGCAAGATCAAACACACGTGGGGCATGTTTCTGAATACACATTTGGTGAAGTTATTAGTGCTGTCGTATTCAGTCCACATTTGAAGGCTTTTATCCGATTCAGTGTGTTATTTCTAGGGAGGTAAAATGCCTTTGTATTTATTCTCCAGCTGATGAAACACAGTTAAAACATCACAGAAGTTGTGCGGTGAAATTTCGACGTTGTTTTATTGTGCGAGGTAAATATTTCGAACAAGTTAAACGCATAATGATACGCTTGCTACCTTTATTAATTGATGTATTTGTTATTTATTAGTTTGTTTGTGTGCTTGTAATAGGAATCATGGCCAGCCTTGCTGCGAAGTATGATTACCTGGAGAAGTTGACACGTAAAGTATGTGTGTCTCAGAACAAGGAGCCGAAGAAAAGACCCTATGGTAATGTTCTGCATTGTTAATCGCACATTAATGAATTATTAATGTTGAATAGTCATCTGCAGCAGTGGTGAAATTGTTATTGTTGGTTTATTTATTTATTCATGCACAGTTTGAATTTGTAAGCAGTTCGAAGAAGTACAAAATAACCTTTTTGTTAATAATTATAATTAATAAAGTTGTATTAATCCCCCTTTAGTTCCATTCCAAGGCAGTGGGGTTAAAGATGGTGCGCCTCCAAAGAAGAAAAAGAACAAGCAAAAGCCAACAAAAGGAGATAATATGAATGCAAGGAAAAACAAACCAGTTCCAAAGGGCACTCAGCCTGCAGTACCTCCAGCTCAGAGAAAAAATGTTCAGAATGGGATTTCAGAGACACAAAAGAAGACTGAGGGTAAAAAAGCAGTTTGTAAAGAGAGAATATTCATTCAGAATGCTTTATTTTAACTGATTCATCCCTGTTAGGTGGAACATCACAGGAATTTAATGCTGTAGACATTCTTCGTCAGAGGCTCCACCAGAAGATTGAGGAGTCTCGTGGACAGGTACATGCTCCAGTTGGACTAAAAGATTAAAAATGGAATAAAATGCCATGTCTGTCAGAGGGATATTAAGTGTTAAAATGCTGAATCTCTTTACTTAAGAGCATATGTTTTCTACGGGTCAGAGAAATTGCAGAAATTGTTCATAAAAGCTATCTTAAAAAACAACATGATAAACATTACTTTTTTTTTTTAATAAAAAAAAGTTTTACATGAATAAAATAAGAAATGTATTATACTACACATTTAGGAGATTTTAAGCCAAGTATTTATATGTGCTTTTTTTCAGGGCACTCCTAAAGATCCTTCCTCGGAGGAGGTAAAGAAAAAACGAGAAAAACGAAAACAAGAAAGGGAGCGTCGTAAGAGGAAAAGGAAAGAGTTTCGAATGAAAAAGTTAGCAGATGCCGCAGCATTGCAGGCAGGAGAAGATGACAAAGAAATAGCAAAACCTCAACTGCAAGTCAGCTCTACATCGAGCGCGCCTGCCAAAACGGAGCAGAGCTTCATCGTCTTCAATAAGATGGATGTTGGAGAAGACTATGTGGACAAAGGAACAAAGCTGATCCTGAATAAAAAGAAAAGGAAAGTGAAAGGAATGTTGACTCCGCTCACTGGTAAGAACTACAAGCAGCTTTTAACACGCATTGAGGCGAGGAAAGATTACCTGGAGCAGCTTAGGGAGAAGGATGAAAGCAAAGCAGAAAAAGAGGAAGAGAAGATGAGGTGGACCAATGTTCTCTACAAAGCTGAAGGTATGAAGATCAAAGACAATGAGGAACTCTTGCACAAATCATTGAAGAAGAAGGAGAAAATGAAAACTCAGAAGAAAAAGAAGTGGACAAAGAGGAGCCAGCAAGTTGTGGAGAAGATGCAAAAGAGACAAGACAAGCGGAAAAGGAATATTAAGCAACGCAAGGATGCCAAGATAGAGAAGCGCAAACAGAGGGCAAGAAAAAAGGGTCGTGTGCTGCCTGGGGATCTCAAGAAGGCTGACTTATAGGCAGAAAGGGTGAAAGGTGGAATTGGAGAAAAAAGGACTTTGCCTTGTGCTTAGGGCTGAAAGAGACATTAAAAATGTACTAATTTTTCGCAAAATTTCAATGTGAAGAAACTGTTTTTTTTTCTGTTGTCACTTTTAAGATTTCATCTTTATAAAGAAAATTATTTGTGTCCATATTTTGTGTTTTTATTATTCTGCCAAGCCAAGGTTGGAGATGTTTATCTACATTTACATTTATTGATTTAGCAGACACTTTTATCCAAAGTGACTTACAGTAGAGGTACATAAGCAAATTGTCACAGAGCCAACACTATTCATGGTGTACTTTGCAAGGTTTATTGGAATGCTAGATTGGGAAACAAGCAAGAGAAAAATGCTTTTTTGGCCTCTTTTTTTCTCATTATGTGTTTAAACATTGTACAATAAGAATGATCATTACAAATTACAAAGTGTATGTTGACAGCGTCAGTGCTAGTAGTCACTGGCCACGCCCACAGCGGGGGAAATGCTGTTATCTGATAGTATCTAATTCTGTGAGGTACTCACTCACCCTCAAGTGCAAACCTGTACAAATTTATTTCTTCTGCTCAACACAAGAATTTTATAAAAAATATTTTGAAGAATGTCTTATTTCTCCCTTTAAGAGAATTCTGCTGCCAGGAGGAGGAGCTCTGCTCGCAGGTTCATTGGCTCACAAGAAGTAAATGTGTGACGTCTTTAATAGCTGGGGAAGTAAACAATCAAGCTTTTGTGCGAAACAAAGTTTTGTGCATTCGTTTTTAGAATACAGAGTTAAATCGACATTTTACCACATGATCGCGTTTCGTTTGTCTCTCGAATCTCTAACGTTAAATCCCAAAGACTACTGTCATGTCTGAATCATTGACTGCACGTCATTTTAAGGTTGACAGTTCAGTTGCTAGAGATGTGGCCTGATAAATCTGTTACTGTGTGTTACTGATTTACGGCAGAAAACCTGTAGTAACTTAGAAAAACTGCATGTGGAGAAGAGCGGCGGTAATTGGACCTTCGGTGTCAAACAGATTAGCAATCGCAGGTTTTCTTGATAAGGTAGGAGACATTTCACACGATCGGTATTCCTGAGCATGTTGTGGTTTAGTGGTGTAATTTGAAACAGTTTTGTCTTATTACATTATTTTCTGCTTGATCACGCAGGGCATAATGTCTCGTAAATTGCACGCGAGAAGGATTGAAGGAATTGACAAAAATATATGGTAAGTAGTCAAAGTATAAGACTGCATCCTGCTGTACATTCGGCTCATTACACGGCATTTACCAAACAAGGAAATACATGGACATAAATATTGAGTTATTTTATTATCTTACGTAGAAAAAAAATTTGGTCAACCAACACTGCAAAGTATTATTATATATTTAAAATCTAGTTACACATATAGTGCTTATTATATTATATATATTAAAGGTTTTATGCTTGGGCTACAATAAATATTCAAAGTAACTGTCCTCCATTTTTATAGTCGGTAATCGCAATAACAGTTTTGAGTCGCAAGATGGCGCTAAATAGCCATTCTTGTATTAAAGGGAGCTGTGTAATTATCTGGTTACAGTAATGATAGATCTACCTTACCATTCTGCATCCAACATATTGAAGTAAAGTAAATAAATTGTTATGTTTAAAACTCCATGGTATTCCTTTTGTGTAGGGTGGAATTCACTCAGCTGGCTGCCGATTATAAGGCTGTGAACCTGGGTCAAGGGTTCCCTGATTTCCCCCCTCCTAGCTTCATTCAGGAAGCCTTCTGCAAAGCACTGAATGGAGGTTTCCCCATGCACCAGTACACACGTGCTTTTGTAAGATATTAGAAGTAACGATTTGCTTGTTTACTAAATGAATAACTGCTGCATAATATAATAAGTATATTAGTAAAGCTTTGTTAAAGAATCTAACAACATGCTGTCATACAGGGCCACCCAAATCTTGTGAAGATCCTGGCCAAGTTCTTCAGTAGGATTGTTGGCCGGGAAATAGATCCAATGGAGGATATCTTGGTTTCTGTTGGAGCATATCAAGCACTTTTCTGCACCTTCCAGGCTCTTATTGATGAGGGTGATGAGGTAAAGTTATCATTGTCAAGGCAATATTCATGTTCATAAAATTATATTTTATTCTGTGATGCATTGTTAGTAGAGAGCAAAAAAGTCACTCAATGTCTGTTTCTTTATGTTCGATATGTGATATCAGAATGCCCCTTTTTTCCTTTTCATGAGCAGGTGATTATTGTGGAGCCATTCTTTGACTGTTATCAGCCAATGGTAAAGATGGCGGGAGGAACAGCTATATATGTGCCCCTTAAACCAGTATGTTCTTATATCATGTGACAAGATCTGTCAACTTGTTTTTGTTCAAAAAACTTGTTCAAAATTGTTTTGAATAATACTTGATGTGTATTGACAGAGGGAAGGCTGTGGTCCTGCTTTATCCAGTGCTGACTGGGTGTTGTCTCCTGAAGAGTTGGCGAGTACATTTAGTCCTCGTACCAAAGCTATTGTCTTTAACACTCCTAATAACCCTCTTGGCAAGGTAAGTCCCCAACAAACAGAAGACAATTTTACCCATTATATTTTATCCAATATATTTTTATACAAGTGAATTTCACGTAATCTGTCAAGAAATCGGATGGTTTCGCAGGTAACTCAGGTTTAGGTTGGTTGTGTGTGTGGTGTGTTTACTGAGATGAAATAGAACAGTTGTTCTGCTTAATATTTTGATAAATACTACAAAATAAACAAAATTCATGATTCTTTGATGAATAGAAAGTTCAGAAGAACATCATTTATTTGAAATAGAAATGCCTTTACTGTCACTTTTGTTACTGTATTCCGCAGTAATTTTTTTTAATGTAAATTCCGATCATTCAGAACTGGAGCTGAAACTGAGCTGAAAGGTTTTTAAGTTTAACCACAGATACATATGCCTATATGCTCAGCCTAGCCCTAACTGTGGTTTCTTGCAGGTCTATCTGCAGGAGGAACTTCAGGTGATTGCTGACTTATGCATTAAACATGATGTCATTTGCATCAGCGACGAGGTGTACGAGTGGCTCACATATGATGGAACGAAACATGTGAAGATCGGTAAGTGCAGAACTGTGCGAATAATGCAATACATCACAGTTTTGTGGACTTTTAAAGAAAAATGACTTTTTTTTGACAGCCAGTCTGCCAGGTATGTGGGAACGCACTGTCACCATAGGGAGTGCTGGCAAGACTTTCAGTGCCACAGGGTGGAAGGTGAGCTGGCCAAATTCAACAGGGTTTGTTTTTTGCAATATTAATTGCCTATATTTGTCATTCTGTCTTTGGCTGGCTGGAAGTGCCTCAGTAGTAGGTTATTTTAGATTTTCTCTATTTTTGTTCATCACATTACTTTATTTTAATGTAGGTGGGTTGGGCAATGGGATCAGGGCATATCATGAAGCACTTAAAAACCGTCCATCAGAACTCGGTGTATCACTGTGCCACAGCTGCCCAGGTAAAACAATGCAATGTGTTTTAAATATAAAGTTTGTGTAACTTTTTCTTTTTTCAGTGGACTGACATTGTCAATTATTGTTTCTTAAGGAAGCCGTAGCAGTAGGTTTTCAGAGGGAATATGATTTATTTGGAACAGAGGACAGCTATTTCCTCCAGTTACCCCTCCATCTTCATGAAAAGCGACTGAGACTGGCAGATTGTCTGAAGAGCGTTGGCCTAAAACCTATTCTGCCCCAGGGAGGATACTTCATGATTGCAGATATCTCAAATCTTAGTAAGTAACAGAAAAATTGTAGAACAAAGTATTAAAACAGGAACTCAGATTTAATTATGGATTATAGAGAGTGTTCAATTAAATTGTTAAATTTATTGTTGAGAGGAAAACCCCTTGAGATGTGACATCTCGTTTTCGAGGGGACCTCAAGAAAAACATACTTCACAAACATACATACATGCTAACAAAACAAAGACAAAAGCTTAGTAAGTAACAGAAAAATTGTAGAACAAAGTATTAAAACAGGAACTCAGATTTAATTATGGATTATAGAAATTGTTAAATTAAATTGTTAAATTTATTGTTGAGAGGAAAACCCCTTGAGATGTGACATCTCGTTTTTGAGGGGACCTCAAGAAAAACATACTTCACAAACATACATACATGCTAACAAAACAAAGACAAAAGCTCTCCATCACACCAAAACCACCCATATTCAAAAAATTCAATTTTTACATCTTTGAATTCCTGATCTATCTGCCTGACATGAGTAGCTTTCATGTTTATTTTCTTCTGAAAATTCTCTTTTTGAGCTTGTTAATTTAATTGCAGTGTTCTTTCATTTAATTGTCTTTTCCAGTAATAATAAAATAAAATATACAAATATAAATGTATATAAAATATAATAAAAAAATATACAATATCCATAATTACAAATAAATATACATTATAGAATATTTCTATAATTTTATACAGAATTTAAAAACATTTTTAAGATTTTATACATTCCCAGGCATGTTCGTTTAAAATGTCTAGATATTTCCAGGTTTTCCATGATTAGAGGAATCCTCATATTATAAGAAATCTAAGTACAACAAGGCTACACACTGTGATTCATGTTTTGACTTGACTACTCAAAAATAAAGTGATCTTAATATTGCTTTTTGATTTTAAATGTTTTTCTTTAAGATATCAACCTTACTGACCCTAGTACTAAAGACGAACTCTATGACTACAGATTTGTGAAATGGCTCATAAAAGAGAAGGTACTTACAAGCATGAGTATTTACTGTTATACAATTTTTACTTATATATACATATATAGCAAAATATATTTTAAATTATTAAAGCAAGTTATTCACTTCTGAATAGGGACTGGCAACTATCCCTGTGTCTGCATTCTACAGCCCGGAACACAGAGAAGAATTCCAGAAATACATCAGATTCTGCTTCGTAAAGGTATTTTTAAGACAGAAATGAAATATGAAATCATTTGAAATAGACATTTTAGAAATAAAATTGCTTAATTATTATTTGGGATGTCAATGTTTTATGGGATGCCAATTTTATGCTTTAGAGACTGTTATCAAGTTTACAGGGTTCCCACGGGTCCTTGAAATTATTGAAAGTTTGTGAATCTGAAAAACAAAATTCAAGGCCCTGGAAAGTTTTTGAAAATAGATACAGGTCCTTGAAAGTGCTTGAATTTATTTTGTGCAAGAGCTTTTCCGGTCCGCTAATGTGTTATTTCGCCAACACTTCGGGACACTTGAATACTAGCTTGCTTGATTTACGTCAGTTACTCTCATTTACGCGTTACGTTAAGTGCTTCCCGCGTGAGGTACTTTGTGTACGTTGCCATGACGTTCACGCGCGCACGAAACTACTACGATGGTACCTCAACGTTTCACAGACACACCGTGAAACATTGCAAAAATAGACTGAAACCACTGAAACGTGATGCCTGGAAAATGCAAGTTTCAAGATATTTGGAATATTTTATAATGTATTTGATCTACACTATGTTGTCCCCACATTAAGTCCTTGAATTTGAGGGTATTGGACCTGGAAAGTCCTTGAAAGGTCCTTGAATTTGAAGTTAACCAAGGTGTGGGAACCCTGAGTTTAATTATCACCATGACCAGTGTTTTTAGTTTCCTTTTTTTGAATCAACTCTGTTAAACCTTAACAAAGTTAACTGTTAATTTTGACAGCCCTAATAATTTTAGATGCAATATAGGTTGCATTATATAGGTGAATCATACATTAATGCAGGAAAAGTGATTGCCATTGTGATTTGTAGTTCACCTTGTTAAAATGTTGTTTATATTATTTCATTCATATTTTCATTAACATTAATAGGAGGACTCTACCCTGCAAGCAGCAGAGGACATCCTGAGGCAGTGGAGTGAAAGCAAATGAAAATTCAAAATCCTGACAGTATAGGCCTTCAAACAGTGTGAAAAGCAAGTGATCGCTTTTTTGTAAAGACATAGCAAAGCTAAAAATGAGACTGGTAGCAGTTTGGGATATGAATAGTTATTTAAAAAGTATTTGTTATTAGGGTTAGGGATAGTTCACCCCTAAAATTAAAATTAAGTCATTATTTACTCGCCCTGGTGTTGTTCTAATGTCGTATTCCATTCTTTCTTTATCGGACCACAAAAGAAGAAATAAATTAAAAACGTCCTGCTCGCACTCATACTTTGAATGGCAGCGAATATTGTGACCCGAATAAAGCTTTTTAAAAAAGACTCAAAAGGATCATAGTATGGTCCGATGTTTCATGTGTCATTTGCTTCAAGTATTCTGGGGGTATATGATAGGGCTTAGCAAAAAACAAACCGAAATTTAATGTATTTACAGAAAATCCTGACCTTGGCCTTTCTTCTTCTGTGCACGGCGCGCACATTCATGAGACTCTGATAGGGCCGCAGTTCACTCCGACTCACACAGAAAAAAAGCACACAAGTTGTAGTAAATCAAGACCTAGTAAATCACGACATGAAATACAATCCATGTACTTTCTACTCTGAGGTGAAATATATCCTTTGTGTTCATCACAACATGAACTTATCACGTTCACATCTGTCAACTTGTCATTCTGACTGAGAGCTGGAGTTCCAGTCTTGAGATATTTAGTTCAGTGAAGAAAGTACATGGATACTTTTATGTCGTGTTTTTTTTATTCTTGATTTCTCACAACCTGTGTGCTTGTTCTTGGCAAGTCGGAGTGAACTAATGAATGCGCATTCTGTGATGCGTTTGCATGTTTTTTTTTAAGCTTGATGATGGTCGCAATTCACTACTGTTATATGGACGAGCACGAGTGGGACATTTTTGTTTTTTTCATTTCTCCATTTGTGGTACGAAAAATAAGGAATGGCACACTGTATTAGAACAACACCAGGGTGAGTAAATGATGATTTAATTTTCATTTAATGGTGAACTATCCTTTTAAGGTTATATTTATTTATATATATATATATATACATACACACATATATATATATATATATATATATATATATATATATATATATATATATATGGGCTGTCAACGTTAACGCATGGGATTAATTTTTGTCCAGTTTAACTCGTTCAAATATTTAACGCAACATCCGTTAATTTTTGTCATCCTTTGACTAGCTTTACATTACATAATCACGCTCTTGTTCATCCAAATGCTTTTAAACCATTCAAGCGCGACAAGATAAAAGAGAACGCGCTGCCTGTCAATGTCCTATGTGACACACACACGACACACAGAAAAACGCGCTCCAGTACCATGCGCACAGCGCGCCAGAATACAGTTCTCTTTCGCACTTGAACGAACAACAACACACACACACACATATATATAATATATAATATGCAGGACTAGCAGATGGTGATATTTGCATCAATAAACAGAGAGGTGAAAAGCCTGCATGGCAAATGGGGTTAAAAAATGAAACACAATTTTTCTTCTGCCTCCTTTTTCTGTTCTATTTAGTTTTATGTCTTTGAATGTGCAATTGAGAATCATTGTTGCCATGATAATATTCAATATCATATATTAATTTTGGGCTCAAAAGCATAATAGTGGGTGGAATCTTTTTAGTCGGTTAAGCATTGTTGTCCTTTGATTGTCATGTTGATGTTCTAATTTTTTGCTGTTGTTTGTCATCATGTTGGCATATATTTGCTGCCATTTGGATTATACTTTAAACTGAAACACTGCCTGTTATTACTGTCTGGCTCCACTCCAAGTTACAAATGACATATTAATTGATTTCTCTTAATCTTAAGTTGTTTATGTTGATTTCTCTTGCAATGTAAGTATTATGTTCAGCCAATTTTCGTTTAACTTTTTTTAAAGATGATCTATGGACTGTCCCCATTTACATAAATATGTTCATTGTTGCAGGAGAACACAATAAAGTGTCATTGTCACACACTGTTTTGTTTTAAATAAAGAACACACTATATTGATTGCAGCGTAATTGTAATAAAACGAATTTGATGAAGAGCCATTGGACTCAAAACGTCACCTGTGGTGTGAGAACATTAAATCTTTTTGTGGTGGTGTGGCAACTTTTCCTTCCTTTTTAAATTTTTTTCGTGGTTGAGCACCCTCACTGAGCTTTTTGCATGTTAGATGAGCGCACTTAGTGTTGAATCTTAATAAAACAAACTTAAACACTCCTCTGTGGTAAATTGTCTTTTTTTTTTTGTGCACTAACTACTTGCATATAATAAGTAAAGTAGACTGCCTTTATTGTTAGAGTTGTTTCTAAAAACTGCAAAATTCCCATCAGTATTGCCAAATAGAAACATTGCCAGAGCAGAGGAAACATAAGATTGTATGTGGGAAGTGATACAATTCCTTTTTCTTCAAAAAATACATTTAACTTTCATTTTACTATACATTAACACTTACTCTTACCTTTTAGAATGTGAATTCTGGAGAGGCATATTGCTATACTCATGCATGGGTTTACTTTGCATGGAGGTCAAAAAATTACTTTGTGACTTTTTTCTTATTTTAAACTGTTCAAATAATGTGTTCACGTGGAACCTGACAAATTGTGCTGTACAAATAATACTTTTTTTACCAATTACAATACGAAAATTTGTGCCGCATTGATCACACCCACAACACTGACACAGCAGCTAAACACACTCAAAAAAGAAAATTAAGACAAAACAAGTTAACAATTCTTTAAATTGTTATCACAACTTAATTTTATCTTGTTCAACCAATTTACTTCTATCGATTTGTGTTGGGATTGCATTAATGATTTTTGTTGTGTTAAAGTAGCATTAGAAACTAGGAACAGGATTTCTACTTCCCATCATACTTTGCATGGGGCTGGATACACTGTGAGACATTTCAAAGGTATTTTACAGTACCATAACCTCATTTCAGTTTTACAGTAACTACATGGTACTGTAATTGTGTAATACAGTGCAATTACTGTTAAAAACCCAGGTTAACACTATTGTAATTCATTCATGTGTACTAAATATAAATTAGATTTTATCATTTTTTTAATTAAAAAAATAATTTTATTTTTATCCCACATAAGTACTACTGACATTAAAATTATCTTCTGTTTGTCAACTCCTAACATCAACTCCTATATATGTAAAGACAAATTACTGATTGTGTAGATATTTTGCGTGTAGATACTTTACTGACACATATTTTCACCAAACAATGGAATTTACACTAAACAGTTTGCCTCAAAATAACTTGATTCAATCAAGTTTGGACATGTCTAAGTTTAGTTGACTTTAAGTTCATTTTACATCAAGTATTTGAGTAGAGGTAACATGTTTCCATTGTGTGGAACCACTGACCATTGTTGAATTAAGTTGAGCCTATAAGAGCAAAGGTATGTGTTAGTTTTTCTAATATGTCCTGCCTTTATCCTCCCCTGTTTTGCAGTCGCAATCACCAGGATCCTCTTGCTGTGGCCTATCACTTGATCATGATTACTCTTCCTTTTTTTTTTTTTGAGTGCAGAATAATAAAATAACAGATGTGTAAAAAGATGCAGACATGTAGAGTTTTTAGGCTATTGCACAGTGGGTTGCATCTTACAGCAAGAAGGTCACTGTTGGAGAGGAGGCCTATCTGTGTGGAGTTTGCATGCTCTCCCTGTGTTGCATGCGTGGGTTTCCTCGCGGTGTTTAGGTGTGAATTGGTGACACTAAAACATGACTTTAGGTGTGTGAATGTCTGTTTCCGATGCTGGAATAGACTACATCATCCCTGTGACCCTACTCAGGACAAGCAGTTTGGAGAATGGATATTACATAGAAAACTCTATACTGTAAAGAGTCTTTATTATAAGTCAGTTTTATTCACAACAATGCTGCGAAATTAAATTAAAATGTGCAATGTTCCAAAAACTCAAGTATCCCAACTCACTCTAATCTCAATGGAAAGAGAAGGTGATTTCTTGAATATCGACTACAATAAATACATTTAGCATTTTTTTATGTTACAAATTTAGTTTTATAATGTTGCTAATAAATGGACAGAATGGAATAGAATTAAAAATGATTTAAGACAGAATAATAACACATACAGTTTTCCTATGTATGTCTGAGAGTACCTGAAAAAAAAATTCAATGCCAACAAAGATGTTACATTACACAAATAAAAAATATTTGTGTATATAAACATCTTAGTTGGTGTGTGTCTGTGTCGAAAACATTTAGTAGTTTTTCAAAGAGATAGTTCAGCCAAAAATAAAAGCATCACACACATAAATAAATCAGCTACTCCGAAACAATGTTTTTGGGTAAACTTCACTTTATCTCCACCCAATGTTCCTTAACATTGCAAAACACACACACACACACACACACACCCCAGTTGGAGCTCTTTATAAAAGAGAGCTGAACACTTAGACATCACTGAGAGCAACTTCTTGTTCTTGAATTGACATGGCGAAGCAGAACTACAGCTTGCGGGATCCCGATGCAGGACAATAGAGTCTACACTGCTCAGCCAGTGATAGTGTCCATGCCTGAGCAAAAACTCAATGATGATATACTTTTTTCCACATTCAATCTTCACTTCTGTAACCCATGCTGCCTTGGGTTTGGGGCAATTTACAACTCAATAAAGGTAAGCAATACATTTAGGCCTTTTTCATTATATATTTGTCCTGCTGCTTTTCAAATTCCTTAAAGTAATATACGTTTTATGTGTATCAGGCCAGGGACAGCAGATTGCTTGGAGACTACGCATCGGCACGGTCTTATGGCAGTAGAGCTCGATGCCTAAATGTTGCTGCCATCATTATAGGTGTCATCGTTGTGATTACCGGCATCATCATCTTTTCCCAGACATTGAGTCAACTCACATCAAGATTTCATCGTCTTTAACTCCCCCAAAGAATTCATGTCTGAATGCATTTCAAGGCTTGTTATTAAATCATTTATATCCATAACATTTAGTAACCTATTGGTCTTGTTCAAAGAGTAATGAAAGATATATATATATACACACACACATCCCAGAAAACACTGAATGTTATGGTTCCCATTTGGTTATAAATAAAACGTTTGAGTAAGGTTCTGTTTTTTGCTGTTCATTTTTCTTCACAGGACATTGCATGGTGGGTTTATTTATTTATTTATTGCTTGATCATCTCAAAAGAACCTACATATTTGGAATCCAATAGTGAACCTCAGTAAAAAAGCAAATGTTGCCAGTTAATCACTTATTCCAGCTATAATTATATAAATAATAATAATAATAATAATATTTAAATAGTTTATTTTAATAATTATAATTAGTTAACATTTTGTAATAATGTCTTAAACATTAATCCATGTGTTTGGAGCTGTGTATTTTGGCGCGCTCTTCTGTACCGGTAGTTGTCAGTAGAGACGCCGCTCCCTCCCGTCCCCGTCCCGCTGTTGCCTCTCTCAGGTAGGGCCTCAGAGTGAAGATGGCGACGGACAAACAGAAGCATGAAGGCAGGGTGAAAATTGGACATTATATTCTTGGAGACACGCTAGGAGTGGGAACGTTTGGAAAAGTCAAAGGTAAAACTGTCCCAGATGGTTTGGGTTATTGCTGTAGTAAAGACGGTAAAGCAAAACTGGAGATGATCGAGTCTTTAAATGCGGCTAAAGCAGCAGCAGCACTTGTTGGCTAATAACAGTGTAGTCATGAAACAAACATTAAACAACGGAGCTTTCTGCGTTTGTCGCAGTTGATAGTGTCAGCCGATCGATGCTTCCGTTGTTTTCTGAATAGTCGCACGCATGCGGTATGTTTGTGTGGTTTGTAGATGGATTGGTCGCAGCTAACATGGTTAGCTTCACGGTTTATGGAGTGATTATTGGTGTTCTGAAGTTGCCGTTGGTGGGGACTGATGGATGCGCTCGTGCACAGGCCAAATGTCAACCGCAGATGCAGCTTTCAGAAAGTCTGTCAAAATGACGAGAAATTAATTATTTTCCAAAACTCATTTTGCAATTAAAATGATCGCGTTTTAGTAGCTTAATTAATTCATAATGCACTGTATATTCATGCCAGGTTAATGACATTCGTATTAGTCAGGCTAGGTTTATCTTATATATAGGGCTGCAACAACTAATCGATAATAATAGATAACGAAATGTATTATGGTTTAATCACGCCTGCGCAAGGAAATCATCCGACCGCCAGTCACGTGACTTTACAGTAGTGAATAACGCATCTATGGGTGATGTGCATCTTTTATTTTGTTTTACTCTATTATGTGTTCAAGTTTTAGAATGTAATGTGTATATTTTAAACCATTATTTGCACATTTACAAATTAACAGCCTACATAAACTATGATCTATGGGTGATGTGCATCTTTTATTTTGTTTTACTCTATTATGTGTTCAAGTTTTAGAATGTAATGTGTATATTTTAAACCATTATTTGCACATTTACAAATTAACAGCCTACATAAATTATTTAGTTTGCACACTGTTTGAAGGACAACAGCAGGCAGGATGAAGAAACTTTTTTTCTTAAATTTTTTTTTTTTTTTTTTTATCTGTTTAATTGAAGACCGAATCAACAGATTAATTGAAATATTTGTAAGCCTACTTATAACCGTATGATTGCCCAGAAGCACCCAGCAGTTGATGGCATTTCTAAAATCCCATTCTTTCTCAATCGTGTTTATTCCCCCCACAAAGTCTGATGCAATAATGAAATGCCTGCTGAACAACAGTGAGAAAATAGTAAATAATGGCTTCCCAGCTTGTTGTGCCCCTCAGAGCAATGCAATTATTGAATCGTCATTGAATCTTCCTGTATTATGGGGCAATACACGATGCCAACATTTCAAGAAAGGAAGTGTGTTGGTTAGGGCAAATATTTCATAATAAGGGTCTTTGGGAAAAAGAGAAGTTGATACATGTACATTGCTGACAAAACATGGAAACTACTAATCATCAATCAAACAAAATAGCCTTCATAAAGACGATTACTAGTGCTATGTTAGGTCTACGGGGTCTAGAACACTCACACACACAGTTCCCTCTGCATGACTGGGTTTTGTGTTAATGCATAACTAGAGCAGTCTAGTTAAAGCAGGCAGGCTGTTTTAAATGTTGCAAGTTGACTGAGACCATACAGCTTCTGGGAACAGTTCAAACTTCAATGTACAGCTTTCAGAGCTTACTAATGCAGCAAAATCCAGCCTTATAAGAAGCTGGTTTGCAAGGCCTTTGTCCATATAAAAAGTTCATGGAAAAAATGTATAAATATGCGCCGCACTATTAATGCACGCTTTAAAGTTGTTGACTCCCTTACATCACACATTCTGCTTTTCAGCAGTTTGACAGTATTTTAGTGTCATTTATCCCTCTGTTTCCTGGGATTCACTAACATAATTAGTGTCATTTATCCTAACCGAGTTCAACCCAGGGCAGTACCAAAGTTGTATAATATATTAAAAACATAAAAAAAAAAAAAATTATTAGCATAAACGGCATTGGCTTAACAATCTGCAAACTGATTAGGCGGAGAAGTAAAATGGACTATTGTAAATGCTTACAACAGCAAACTAGTGAAAACAACGTCAGCCAGGGTTGCCAGGTCCATGGTGTTTCCCTACACCAAACATAATGTGTTGCGGTTATAATTCACCTGCAAAGAGCGTTGTGCTCTGTTACTTCTGATAAGAAACAAAGTCGGACTCGGCCGTGTGTCCACTAAAGCGTGCCTGCTGAAAACGCTAGGCGCTCTGCTGAAAACGCCTAGCTATGTCAGCACAGCATTTTTTTCAGTTGAGACACTTTGCTTGTTATGATACGGAATACCCGCGAAAGTGTTACTAGGATCTCATTTCACACATATTTTGTTTCTGTGTTGATTCTATATAATAATTAGTGTCATTTATCCCACTGTTTCCTAACAGAGTTCAACCCAGGGCAGTACCAAAGTTGCATAATATATAAAAAACATTTTTTTAAATAATTTATTAGCATACACTAACAGCATCTGCTTAAAGGGACATTGTGTAGGAATTTCTCCCATCTAGCGTTGAAATTGTTTTTTGCATTCAAACGAATTGTGCTCTCCAGCGCCTCGCTTTTTCAAATGCTTGTTGCATCTACGGTACCCGTTATGTACCAAAGAGCTATGACAGGATGTCTTCTAATAGCACTTCGTCGAGTTTTCCTTCAGGGTGAACAGGTTGCAAGAACAATCATATGCTCTATTAAAATATATTCTTATCGAATTTTATAGGTTACAAAAAGTAAACTTACAAACCTTGTTTTTAGCGCCTTCTCTACATAGCTGCTATTCATCAAAGAGCCTGTTTAACTGTTAACTATAAATGTTCTACTGTCTATATAATAAAGTACACAACCAAGCAATGAAAAAAGCTTGTAATTAAGACTGTAACATTGACTTACCTGTCGAGAAGAAAGCAAGACTTCAGCGTCTCTTTTGAAATCTTTCTCCTGCATTAACGTTAGCTCTTTCCACCTGGAAAAAGCTATCCTGACATTGTTTTTTGTAATCTCCGGTCATGTTTCCTTTTACGTTCTATTTTGGACTTTATGTATGGTTCGCCATTAAAAATAACAGTGCAATGCAGCCTTTTAAACTTGCCGGGGCAGTGACAAGCGCCTCTCACTGCTGCTCCTCCGTTTCTGCTGCTTTCAGTTACGTGACGCTGGCTCTGAACGAAAACGCGTTGTGGAAACGCGTTGGCCTAGTACTTCTTGTCCCTCTCTTGCTATTATAGTCTTTCAAGATGGCGGAACTACATGGAAGCCTCCGTGGACCTACCCGTCCCATGTATATAAAGATAATTAATTCTTCGTTTACAAGGATAAGTCCGATAATTGGCAGAGGTATTTGTACACCATTGAGGACATATTTATGAATAAAAATATTGATTTTAGAAAATAAAATACCTAAAAAAGTACACATTGTCCCTTTAACAATCTGCAAACTGATTAGGCTGACAAGTAAAATGGACTATTGTAAATGCTTACAACAGCAAACTAGTGATTTACCAGCATGGCACAAACACTGGGTGAAATAAAGTATTAGGCTAGTATTAGCCATATTATTGTAACTATGCATGATTACATGGTTGGTTGCATTTTTATTATTTACAAAAAGCTATTTTTCCTTCTCAGAACAGACATGCACCCCACCGGCCTTGATTTTGAGTTAGTTAATGGGTTATTTAAGAAGATCTTCTTTAAAGATTGATAGGACAGTTGCTTCTACATTTGAATTCGTGTGTCTTTTTCATAAATACATTGTGAATTTTATTGTATATTTTTCATTGACCTTCTATCTGTCTGTGCAGTTGGCCAGCATGAGTTGACCAAGCACCAGGTGGCGGTAAAGATTCTAAACCGGCAGAAGATTCGCAGTCTGGATGTGGTGGGAAAGATTCGACGTGAGATCCAGAACCTCAAACTCTTCCGTCACCCGCATATAATCAAACTGTGAGTAACATCCATGACCTATTTGTTAAGAACGTGTACCCTTGATCAGGGTTGCACCGATGTTGCAATTATTTTCACTATCGTCATCGGTCGATTGTTTAATAACAGCCAATGAAAAGAGCTGCTTATATCCTGTCAATCAAAAGGGGGCGGAAAAAAAACGTCAGCCAGGGTTGCCAGGTCCATGGTATTTCCCTACACCAAACATAATGTGTTGCGGTTATAATTCACCTGCAAAGAGCGTTGTGCTCTGTTACGTCTGATAAAAAAACAAAGTCTTAGGCCGTGTGTCCACTAAAGCGTGCCAGCTGAAAACGCTAGGCGCTCTGCTGAAAACGCCACGGTATGGGCGCTTGAGAGCATTTTGTCAGCGCAGCATTTTTTTCAGTTGAGACACTTTGCTTGTTATGATACGGAATATCCGCGAAAGTGTTACTAGTATCTCATTTCACATTATTATCCTTGTTGTTGTCATCTGTTGACGTTGTACAAGCATAATGTGGCGGTTGGTCGTGTGGTATTAGTCCCGCCCCTTCTCCACTGTGATTGGACGGTTGGGTAAAAAGTGACAGTGATGAGCACGTTTTACCCAAAGTTGAACATTCTTCAACTCTCGGCAACCTGTAAAAAACGCCGGGCGCTCCCTGCTTTAGCGTGAAAAAAACACTCAGCACCTCGTTACGCTCATGGCGTTTAAAAAACGCGGTGCTCCCATTGAAAACAATTGGAAAAATATGCCAGCTGCGTGAAAAAACGCTTTGGTGGACAACAGGGCCTTAGCTTTCAAATTCTGTCCATTTTATCACAAAATTCAAACAATAAATGGGGTTTTGATGCTCTTAAATGGGACCTGACAGATTGCTGTAGTGCCTCAGTTCAGATGGCAGCATGGAGCAAGTCTTTTCTTCCACTTAATATAGGTTATAGCAACATGCATAAACATCAAAAAATATGTTGAAAGATTTAGTGCAACTTACCAAAATGTCTCATGTTATCACTAAATCAGTGTTTCAACTGCAGAAAGACATCAATAAAACAGCTTGTGAACAATGTCACTTAACATTGCATTTAGCTCAGGAAAGTTATGTTCACAGTTTGTTAGTTAGCTGTAAAAAATAAATAAAATAAAAATAAACCCTAGAGAGGAGCATACTGTTAATTGCATATGTATGTTTGAACAAATTTGTTTAAGTGTTTATAAAAACTACCTTATGTGGAGAGTTGTATACAAATGTTTTCTGGTTTATTTGAGTGTAATTATTATATATGAAAATAAATACCAGTTGAGTTCAATATAATAGTTTGGGCTAATTCTAACCTCTAATATTATAGCAATGTACCAAATGAGAGGATTCCCTGTAAAGTTTACAGCATTCTTTGGCAGTTTTTTTTTCTCAATCGTATCGGCAGATAAAGTTAGTGTCTGTGCATCTCTTCCCTTGATTTAGAGGCTTTAGCGGATTTGTTTTTCTCAAATTGATTATTTTTTTCCCCTTCATTCCCTTTCTCTTGTTTCCCATGCAATGAAAATTCACCAAACGCATTTCTGTTTCCCTGGCAGATCCAGTCTCTCTGAATTCTAATTCACAGATAATGCAGTATTTTATTTAGGGGCTAGAATGTGCACCTATTTGACCTACAGATAATCATTTTGAGTGTATTTTATTTTTTTATGTATATCTATCCCAGAGTCATAAGTAAAAGAGGAACAAACTTGATGTGTGTGTGCATGAGACCCAGCATCTGTGGACTGGTTTTGCTTCTCTGGTGACCATGCTTCTATTTATCTTCTTTTTTCTTTTGTGGCATGGAATGAGGCAAGACAGTCACAGAATTATAGTGGATGGAAAAGAGAGGGGGGATTTTCATTTCCTCCCATTATAGAGAAGCAGTAAATCTTTGTCTTTCATGTTCTGAACAATTATTTTCTGTCTGTCTCCCTGATTTTTGTCTGTGTATTTACATGTGAGCTGTTTGTCTGTTGATGTTTTATTTTGAGGTCAGGGTCAATAATAAAGACACATACCTTTACTCTGGCCAGATAATACATGGAAATCGAAGCTATCCAGACTTGCTCCAAACCCATTAGGGATTCATTGACATTTTCCATAAAAATGTATAGTAAATAGTTTATTATTAATTTTATTTTATTATTTAGTAAATATACGAAAAAATGTATAAATGTACAATCTAGCATTTAAACTAAAAACCTATCTGTTAAAATATGCCTAAATTCATCACTTAACCAGTACAAGAAAGGGAATATGTTTTCAGAATATGTTTTTTTGTTTAGAATGTTGTAGACCTTAAAAGTTTACACATGTATTCTTTACAAATTTGTGCATTTTTACTTTTGTTTTGTTTGGCAGTTACCAAGTCATCAGCACACCAACAGACATCTTCATGGTAATGGAATATGTTTCAGGAGGGGAACTCTTCGACTACATCTGTAAAAATGGAAAGGTACAGCTTTTTAATTTGTAGGTTATGATTAAGACTGGAAAATGAATGGCTTATGTTGATGATAAAAAATAATCAACTGTTCATTTAATTGTTGTATAGTTGAGTCTTTTGTGCTGTCACTGGAGAACCTCCATCAGTGATGCCACTTTGGTGTAGTGAATTATTTTTTTTTTTACTTTTTGATATGATATATTCTTATAATTCAAGCATTTCAGTTTTGCAAAGAGTCCAGCAGGAAGTGAGAGATTAAATGCCACTGTAATTGCTAAAAAATCATAGATCTGCTGAAAGAGGAAGTACAATCTAGGGATGTGGTTAGAACACAAATGAAGATCTTTTTGATGAAATATGAGAGCTTTCTGTCCCTCCAAAAAGACAACTATGCAACTGACACTTTGATGCTTTAAAAAGTTCATAAACAGATTGTAAAACTAATCCATATGAATTGAGCGGTTAGTCCAAATTTTCTGAAGAGACGATCGCTTTATATGATGAACAGATTGAATTTAGGCTTTTATTCACATTTAAACTTTCATCAACTCGCACATCAGTTGTGGTAAATAGAAGCTCAAGCATGTTCGCTTGATGTGCAAGAACCAATTTCATTCTCATGTGTTGCGCAGTCTGTTTGAGTTTCCGCAAGGTTTGGTTGAGCTCCTGTGAACTCACTGGTCAAAGTTTATATGTGAATAAAAGCCTAAATTCAATCTGTTCGTCATATAAAGCAATTGAGTGTCTTCAGAAACATTTGGAATAAACCACTCAATTCATATGGATTAGTTTAGCGATTTTTTAATGAACTTTTTTAAGCATCAAAGTGTCAGTTGCGTAGAAGTCTCAGATTTAATTTGTTCCTACGATGAACGAAAGTGTTATGGGTTTGAAATGACATGAGGGTGAGTAATTAATGGCAGAATTTAAAGTTTTGGGTAAACTAACCCTTTAAGCGTTCACTTAAGCGTTGTTAGCCATAGACATTTATTCAAATCAACTGAATCAATAGGACCAAAAAGTTCAAACCTAATAATCTATTACAAAACAGATTTCCTCAAATGTTAGTTAGTCCACATAAGTCACTCAGCACGTTAAGGCATTGTTGTTTTATTTATAACAAACAATGTTTGTTATAAATTATTGATCAATAATTTTTCTATTTATCAAAGAATCCTAAAAAAAAAATCACAGTTTGCACAAAAATGTTAAGCAGAACAACTGTTCTTAACATTGATAATAATAAGTGATGTTTCTTGAGCAGCAAATCAGCCGATTAGAATGATTTCTGAAGGGTCATGTGACACTGAAACTGGAGTAATGATCCTGAAAATTCAGCTTTGCCATCACTGGAATAAAATGTATTAAAATAGAAAAGAGTTCTGTTGTAATTATAATTGTAATAATATTTCACAATAAAATCGTTTTTACTGTATTTTTTTTATCAAACAAATGCAGCCTGGGTGAACGTAAGACTAATAAGGAATCAAAAAATCTTTCCAACCCCAAACATTTGAACAGTTGTGTATATCAGGGTCCACAAAATCGGCACAGTAAGTTGCAACAGGGGAACATTAAATGCAGAATGTTCCGTTTAGGCCACATGGGAGATGTTAAAATAATACATGGTCCTGTGTCTCTGGTTAGTTGGATGAGAAGGAAAGCAGGCGGCTGTTCCAGCAAATCATCTCAGGGGTGGATTACTGCCACAGACATATGGTGGTGCACAGAGACCTCAAGCCTGAGAATGTCCTGCTGGATGCGCACATGAACGCCAAGATTGCAGACTTTGGTATGTGAACTCTTCATATTTGTGAAACATGGTGGTTGTTTTAATGTTTATATCACATGCTATACAGACTTCGACTTTTCCTCATGCAGGCTTGTCAAACATGATGTCGGATGGAGAATTCTTGAGGACGAGTTGCGGATCTCCTAATTATGCTGCTCCGGAAGTCATCTCTGGAAGGTACCGTTTACCTCTGTGCCTGTATTTACCTTTTACTATTTGCTTTTTTATTTTTAAACGATCTTCTCAAAAACCTGCTCTCGTCCTCTAAGATGATGCTCTGTGCGGTTTCAAATGGCTTTGTGAAGTCCGTTCATTCAGATTATCTATTGACGGATCTTGCCGTTCTGATCCAGGTTATACGCAGGCCCTGAGGTGGACATCTGGAGCAGCGGAGTGATTTTGTATGCCCTGTTGTGCGGAACGCTGCCGTTTGACGACGACCACGTGCCAACACTGTTCAAGAAGATCTGTGATGGTATCTTCTTCACGCCTCAGTACCTGAATTCCTCCGTTATTAGCCTTTTAAAACACATGCTCCAAGTGGACCCCATGAAGAGAGCCACCATCAAAGAGATTCGGTCAGAAACTACGCCAAGCACTGTCTATTTCATTTAGTAATGCCATAACTATTAGGATGTGGAGAGTAAGATTTGTAAATGTTCAAATCAACATCTTCTCTCTTTATCTGTTCATTGCTCTCCATTATCAGGGATGATGAGTGGTTTAAGCAAGATCTCCCCAAGTATCTGTTCCCGGAGGACGCTGCATACAGCAGTAATATGATTGATGAGGAGGCGCTGAAGGAGGTGTGTGAGAAGTTTGAGTGCACTGAGGAGGAGGTGCTCAACTGCTTGTACAGGTTTGTGCTAATTTATTTATTTTAATCTGTAATGGGCAACTCGTTCTTGACCGTCACATAAAGAGGATCACATTCACAAACAAACTGTTTAAATCATGTTCTTTATTTATGCAGAAATTATTTATTGCAAAAATAACACCACGTCAAGGGGTTTAAACAATAACAGGAAAAATAGTAATCCATTGGAGTGATAAACATCGATAAGCATTAAACAAAAGAAAAAACAGCAAGTTGGCGCAAATGACTTCTCCGGAGAACAGTTTCTTAAGAGTAAACTACTGTTGAGAAGGACACCATAATCTTTGATACTCTCCACCCACAAATCAGTCAATTAACAATAATAATAATTAATAATTCATTACATTTATATAGCGCTTTTCTAGGCACTCGAAGCGCTTCACATGGAAGGGGGAATCTCCTCAACCACCACCAATGTGCAGCATCCACATGGATGATGCGACGGCAGCCATAGTGCGCCAGAACGCCCACCACACACCAGCTTACTGGTGGAGAGGAGACAGAGTGATGAAGCCAATGAGTATATATTATATATATATATATGGGGATTATTAGGAGGCCATGATGGACAGAGGCCACTGGGCAAATTTGGCCAGGATGCCGGGGTTACACCCCTACTCTTTCGAAAGACATCCTGGGATTTTTAATGACCACAGAGAGTCAGGACCTCGGTTTAACGTCTCATCCGAAGGACGGTGCTCTTTGACAGTATAGTGTCCCCGTCACTGTACTGGGGTGTTAGGACCCACACAGACCACAGGGTGAGCACCCCCTGCTGGCCTCACTAACACCTCTTCCAGCAGCAACCTGGTTTTTTCAGAAGGTCTCCCATCCAGGTACTAACCAGGCTCAGCCCTGCTTAGCTTCAGTGGGCAACCAGTCTTGGGCTACAGGGTGATATGGCTGCTGGCTAACAATGAAGTCTTCTGCGAGTCCCGCCAATCACATTTCAACACCATACTGTCCCCAGGAGGCAGAATGTGGAAAACGGGACCATAACACCTCTCCTCAAAAAGATTCTGCAAAGAAACCAACAAAAAAATGTAATTCCTCTCTTTCTCTGCCAAATAAGACAGATGACAGTAAGTATTTCAGAGTTGTTAAGGCGTCCATCTTCTTTTCCCCGAGAAAGAAGATTCACATCCTCATCAGTATTTTCTGGAGAAGAGTCATTTGTACTGTAGGATGAAATGGGTGAAACCACAGACTGTCGTTCTGGATTAAAAAGATCACAAGTTGGCACAACACCAACAGAGACTAAAGTTATATAAGATTAAAAAAAAAAATAATGTGACAAACCTGAACTTTCCTCCGACGATCAGGAGTATTCAGCAGATAATTATTAACTGAAAGGTGCTTAGCTATACTGTAAGGTCCTGTAAACTTTGCTTGAAATGGGTTATTTGGAAGAGCTAGCAAAGCCATTACCTGATCATCCCCCTGAAATCTCCTTAGCCTTTTTGTCAAAAGCATTTTAGTTTGAGATTTACACAACTTATTTTGAGCAATAGCTTGTGCCTTATAAAGTCTACACCGAAACCCACTCACGTAGTCTAAAACATTTTCGGGAGGCTTAGAGGTCCTCATACTGTATGCCCAAACGCCAGTTAATTTGGATTAAAACCAATGCTGTCTTTGGTTACCTCACGTATAGCTAATAACATCCACGGCAGGCCCTCTTCCCAATCAGCATCAAATTTCACACAATATGATCTTAAGAGATTTCAAGGTTTGATGAAACCTTTCAAGAGCCCCCTGACTCTGTGGATGGTAAGCTCTAGAAATATTGTGGGAAACTTGAAGTTGATGCAGGGTTTTTGAGAACTCTCGACATACTTGTCTTCGAACCCTTATCAGATTGATTTGCTTTGGGATACCAAAAATAGACAAAGTTAGTGAGGGCTTTCAAGATAGACTTACTAGTGATAGAGCTTAATGGGTAAGCTGCAGGATAATGGGTAGTCTGGTACATTATTGTAAGACGATAGATAACCAACACAGTCAATCTTGTTCTAAAAAGTGAAAACTTTTGCATAATCCGTTTTTCAGAACCCGGTATGACCAGCAAGTCCTTGATTAGCCAATTGCGATATAGGTTCTCTAAAGGCTGATTTATACTTCTGCGTCAGACCTTCGCCAGAGCCTCTATGCTGTAGACTACGCGTTGGTTTTAATTTATACTTCTGCGTCGTTGTCCACGTTGATGCACGCAGAGGGAACATGTGAAACCCGAGGGAGCGGTTCGAGCAGACCAATCACAGCGCTTGCGTCCGCGTAGAATTGACGCGTTGTCACATTTTTGGAGAGGTGCACGTCAGGGTACGCCGAAGGGTATGCGCGCTACACACAGCCTACGACGTAGCTACGGAGGGAGGTCGACGCAGAAGTATAAATTGGGCTTAAGCGTAAGGGAACTACAATTTGGGTTTTAGGTTCCATTAAAGAATTTCCTACTTTTGACAAAGCAGACGATCTTTAAGGAAATACGATTCAGAATGATCGTCAGATCCCTCCTTGGACCCTGCTGCACAAAATAAAGGCTGAAGAGTGTCGTCTCTCTCTTGTGCTGTAATTAACTCTTGAGAGATCTGTAAAAGAGGAGTTAGAGAACAACCATCAACATTAGAAAGATCAGCACAACTAATATTCTCAGGAGTGAACATCAACCTCAGGTGTTTTAACAGATTCGATCATTGCTTTACACTAGATTCTTTCAGACACAAACACATCATTAGATTCTGGTCCGCCTGAACTGACAAGGAAAAGAGGGTATCATTAAGTGGAACCTCTACAACTTGATGTTCAGATAGTTGTTTAGCCATTGATCAAATGACTGCACAAGCTGGAAACAAATCAGGGAATTCTTCGTTGCATTTTCAACCTCATATTTTATGGGTACAGATACTACTATGGGTGGAGCTACCACAATACTCTCTCCCTGAACATTCCCCCGAGCTAAATCATTTCTTAAAATAAATGCAATTCCTGGCCCTGAAAGTGCCGAACGAACACCAACCGCAACATCACCAGATAGATACTATCACTGAGGAAAGATGTATTCTGTGCAAAGGCACTTCAACAAACCCCATCTCAAAACCTTGTACAAATACATGGGTTCTGGTTGTTGTTTCATATATGTGTTAGTTTTTCTAATATGTCCTGCCTTTATCCTCCCCTGTTTTGCAGTCGCAATCACCAGGATCCTCTTGCTGTGGCCTATCACTTGATCATAGACAACCGCCGCATTATGAGTGAGGCCAAAGACTTCTATTTGGCCTCCAGCCCCCCAGACAGCTTTCTAGACGATCTGCCCGCTCATCACTCTGCTAAGATTCACCCTGAAAGAGTGCCATTCTTAGTGGCCGAGTCTCAACCGCGTCCTCGACACACGCTGGATGAGCTTAACCCCCAAAAGTCTAAGCATCTCGGTGTTCGGCGGGCAAAGTGGCACCTTGGAATCCGTAGCCAGAGCAGACCGAATGATATCATGAGTGAGGTCTGTCGTGCTATGAAGCAGCTGGACTATGAGTGGAAGGTAAGCATCTGTGCATGTGATTTGACTTTAAATTTCTCGGATCACTGCAGCATTTAATGGGATAGTTCTCCCAAAAATGAAAGTTGTCATCATTTACCGTCATGTCATTCTAAACCTGTATGACTGACTGACTTCTAGGGAACTCAAAAGAAGATAGTTTGAAGAAAGTTTCAACTGTTTTTGTCCATACAATAAAAGTAATTGGTGTCCAGCATGTCCTGTTTTGGAACAGATTATGTGAATAAATTGCATCCAGACAAAAAAAAAACTGTTAGTCCGTTTAGGCCAGGAATATACAAATTGCAGCAATAAAGGGTGGAGGAGTGTGTAAAAATAGATAAATGGAGCGAATGCATGTCCTGCTATGCATTTTTTCCTGCTTATCCTCCTGAGGTTCATGATCTTAGGTTAAATTCCATCTCTTCCTTGTGGGAAAAAGTTTTGGGGTTTCTGGTAAATTCTATAAATAGAAAAGACTTGACCGCTTTCTCTCTTTCTCACAGATACACACACACACACACACACACACACACACACACACACACACACACACACACACAAACGTACAGTAAGCAAATAGAATGTTAACAACAAACTTTACAGTATGGTATCTTCATAACGTACAGTCATTATTAGAAGAGCCTGGAGCTAAAATGTAAACAGAGCCTCTAAAGTATTAAGGACAGAATTGTTTTTTTAATGGTGCACTACTGTAGCCTGACGTCGTCATACTCAGATTCTAGTCAGAATGTGAGTCTGATACTGCTCCATTGGGCTGTGATTATGGGGCGTGTTTCAACCGAACCAGGAAAGAAAATGCCTCAGTCTGCACTCAATTGGATCGACAAATGCCTTGATCGCAGTTCTCTGTTCCTCTTTTAAAATGAATGCGCTGTCTACATCTTCTACAACAGATGGCGGAATCTACACGTCTTAATTCTCCAGCGGCAGCCATTATTTGTTGTAAACGAATTCAACCCAAGCGCTCTTTGGTGACGTGATGATTACGTTACTGTTGATCGTCTGTCCATCATCGTATAAACAGCTTTGGTTCGGGCATACTTGCTTCACAACGGATCAAGTTCAGACCGAACTTCCCATCCTCAAATGTTGTGGGCGGGGCTAAGTTCGGCTGGCATCCAGGCTAACACTACTGTTGAATGGTACACAAACTGACTACCTTTTTGAAAGTAGTCTCTTGGCTGTATTAATGTTAAATTTACAATTTTTAAATAACAGTTTTTGGTCCATTTAAAAAAAAAAAAATTATTTATTCCTGTGATGGCATTTGATACATTTTTTTCCAGGATTGTTTGATGAATAGAAAGCTCAAAAGAACAGCATTTATTTGAAATAGAAATCTTTTGTAACATTTTAAATGTCTTTACTGTCACGTTTGATCGATTTAGTGGGTCCTTGCTGAATAAATTATTATTTTTAAACTAACCTCAAACTTTTGTCTCTGTTGACATGGTTGAAACAAAATCAGTGAGGATTGTTTTGTTTTTTATGTCAGTTATGTTTATAGTAAGAGGATATCTATTAAATTTTGTCTGACAAAGTAATGTAATGACCTTTGATGTTAACCTGTGGCTGGCTGAAGTTTAAGCATGTTTGACTGAGTGAGTCATCAGTTTTGGACGGAATTGGCCTACGTCTTTGTTTATAAGAGTGTTCATTCTGTGTCTTATCTCTTAGTGGCCTCTCTTATCAAGTTGAACAGTGTTTACTGCTGTTCAGGAGTATGCCATTCAGACCTCCTCAAAACAGTGCAAATAGTGTTACAGTGCAATGAACCCGTCGGCACAGTCCTTTTTTAAAGTTGAACGTTGGTAAATATGAATGAACTTAGGGTCTTTTACAGTCAGATTTGTTAACTCTCCTCTCTTTTTTCCTCTTTGGTTTGATAGGTAGTGAATCCTTATTACTTGCGAGTGCGGAGGAAGAACCCAGTCACTAGCATACATACAAAGATGAGCCTCCAGCTCTACCAGGTGGACAGCAGGACATATTTACTAGACTTCAGGAGCATAGATGGTAAAATTGTCACTCTGTGTGTGGTTTTATTCATTGTTTCGTTTTCTTTAATTATTTGTTTATAACTGCTTTAATTTACCAATAACCAATTAAAAAAATGAAAATAAACAATCACACGTAAGAATATGAATACTGAATAGATCTGACTGAATAATACAAGTATTCTTTTCAGCATGTCTGAACTGTAACTATGTTATACACTACATAAAGCTTGTGAGACATCAGTCAGAGTAGTTACCGAATGGTTGTTTATATGACATTGTGTAACTACACATTATGAGTTTTGTAGTCAGTGGTATCTTATAAAAAAAATTAGATGTAATATTTTTACTTGATATTTTGGAGCAATTATTGGATTGCCATTGTGTTATTGTCAGCAAGACATTTCCAAAAGTTCCAATTAAATTAAAATTTAAATAAAATATTTAATTACATCTGATTGATGTCTAATCTGCTAAAATCTCATCATCTGGCAACATACTGCTTAGGTAAACAAAGTTTATGTAGTTTCTTATTGTAAATAGGGGTTGCACAGACTTGTTGACTTTAATGCTCGGTCATGACGCTTTTAAGCTTGACGTCGATTAGTCGCTGATCATGGCCTATAGAGTGCGCAACAGGATAAGAAATCTTTGAAGTCCACTTTTACGCTCAATATGCATACTGCGAAAGTCCTCCACAATACATGTTTGATTATACCATCTGGATGCTCAAAATTGATGAGTTGAATGCACGTTTTATGTATGCACAGCTTATTGTACACGTGAGTTAATCGCCGTTCTAAACTAATGCTGCATTGTTACTCGCGCACACACACAAACAGTAACTCGCACATCACGTGTAGATCGTGCACACAGAAACATTCAGTTTGTATTTTTATAATCTGAAATGTATTGTCAACAACACTGTTCTGTGAAAAAAAACACCGTTCTGTGATTTATCAATAAAATGGCTTAGAAACCTGAAAAGTTCTAGCATATAATCTTAGTAACTAAAACCCTCACTATTATTAGAGACGCTGCCAGGAAGAATGAATTCACATGCAATCGCACTCTCACTAATGCATTCATATAAATAATCTTTACTGTGCTACTTTATCTGTATCTCTATTTAGAATGAGCTGAAGTGAGAAATATAACAACCCAAAGACAAAAGAACTGATAAAAAATAAGCTGATATGTAGGAGCAATAGCCTTGTGGGCAGCGCTGTGCTGCCCACAGCTTTGCCATAGCTGTGCACAAGGCAACCCGCGTTCGAGTCTCAGATTGAAGTTCAGGCTTATTTGTTCATTCATGACGTCATCAGCGACTAGTCGACGTCGACCCGACTTTCATCGCATAAATTTCGATTTTAAAAAGTCTGAAGTCATTCAACCCCTAATTGTAAATGTTAAGAATTGGTTTATTTAGGGCTGTCAAATGATTAATCACATCCAAAATAAAAGTTTTTTTTACATAATATATGTGGGTGCACTGTGTATAATTATTTTGTATATATATAAATACACACACATGCATGTATTTTTAAGAAAAAAATATTATTTATATATAAAATATTTATATATAATATAAATTATATATTAATCTATATACAGTATATACATGAAAATATTTCTTAAATATATACAAGCATGTGTGTGTATTTATATATATATAAAATAATTACCGTATACACAGTGCACCCACATATATTATGTAAAAAAAACTTTTATTTTGGATGTGATTAATCACGATTAATCATTTGACAGCCCTAGTTCATTTATATTGTTTTATTAACTGTACTAAAAGAAACCAGAACCATTAAAAGGAAAGATTCCCTACAATTCTCATCCCTGTTGTGGCGTGTTCTGGTGTGTTTTCTGCATACTTCACAATCTGATGTCTTCTGTTACTTTCAGATGACATGATGGAAGTAAAATCAGGGACTGCCACGCCTCACCGCTCTGGCTCAGTCGGTAACTACCGGACTACCCTAAAGAACGAGAAAAATGAATGTGAGGACGCAACAAAGGGTGACGTGTCTGCACCCTCCACACCTCCGATATCCGGAGGGAAAGCGGCGGAAAGCTCTCTGGCTTCTTCTCTTACCTCCTCAGTGGATTCCACTGGGGGAGAGATCCTCCCCCGGCCGGGAAGTCACACCATAGAGTTCTTTGAGATGTGCGCCAACCTCATCAAGCTGCTTGCACGATAACTTGTGGTTCCTCTGATGCCTTCTCTCTCTCTCTCTCTCTCTCTCTTTCTTCTAGAATACTCTCTACCTCTTCATCCTCAGATGGCTGTCTTCATCCACAGCAGTCCTCCTATCTCTATTCTTTTGTCTTTCTCTTTCTCTCTCAGTGTCTTTAGAGCAATAAGCATGCAGACAGACTCAAGACTCCATGCATCCCACTTGCATGAACAAGCTGAATGGTCTGTGGCCGTACAGTCGCCAGCATCAGCCTGTTTAAGGGGACTAAGAAAAGGTGCAAAAGGGAAAAGGATGGAGGTTGTTTTTTTGTGCCACAGTCAGGCTGTCAGAAAGATTGCTAAACCACTTTATTGTATCTATACTTTTTTAGAGATGGTTTTACAATTCTTTTTCGGGTTTTATAGCAAGGATTTCCTTTCAGAGAGTGAGGCATAGAGTTATACACTGAGCTAGCTGTACTGTACACAATGCTGTTGCAATTCTTGGTGGACCAAGAGATCTATAGAGAAAGAGCCCTTGTGGGCATGTGGGCCGACAAGTGAGACAGAAAGCGCTTTTGCACAGTTTTACCTGCAAGTTTTTGTGGGCCAGTGTCATGACTGGTTATCCCATTGACACAGCCTACTGGGAAGGGCACTCTATTAAGAGGAGCCTACTTAAATAGTGGGCCACTGCTGGGACGGGCCAATTTAACATGGTGGGCACTTTAACACAAAGGGACAATTTGATAAGTCAGCCTTTCTTAAAGGGATACTCCACCCAAAAATGAAAATTCTGTCATAATTTACTCACCCTCAAGTTTTTGCAAACCTGTATGAGTTTCTTTCTTCTGCTGAACACAAAGGAAGATATTTTGAAGAACGATTGGAACCAAACAGTTGTTTGGGACCATTGACTTCCATAGTAGAAAAAAGAAAAATACTATGGAAGTCAATGGTGCCAAAGTCCCAATCGTTCTTCAAAATATCTTCCTTTGTGTTCAGGAGAAGAAAGAAACTCATACAGGTTTGCAACAACTTGAGGGTGAGTAAATGATGACAGAATTTTCATTTTTGGGTGGAGTATCCCTTTAAGAAAGAGACCAATGTAAGACCCATCTATCCTGAGGGAGTGCAATGTTCTTGCTTCTGTTTCATAGATTTTTGTTTGTTTGTCACACCTTAGACTTTTTTTCTATTTGCTCACATTTTACATAAATTTAAGTATATACAAAATTTAAACATGCGTTCAGATTTATGTTTATCAGTGCTTTAAATGGGGTTGTAGATTGTACTGAAATTGTGATATTGGACTGGATTTTTTTTTTAAAGAAATGTTTGATTATATCGCTGTAATATGTTTTATTCCATACACTGCTTTATCAAAAACATTTTTTTTTACTATTATTTTAGTTGTTTTACAAAACAATGGTTGCTTCAACAATAATTACTCCTTAAATCAAATGTCTCTGTACCCCCACCCCACCCCCCACCCCTTTCTTTAGTTTTTTTGTTTTGTTTTTTGTTTTAAATGTAGGCTGCAAAGATAAGTGCATTTATGAACACTTTAAAATACCGCTGAGGTGTCCAATATAGTTAATCAACACAATGAATGAGTTTAAGTTTTAACTCATATTGGCATATATCCTTTAAAAATTGACAAACTTTGGCTGAGTGAGCCACATAGTTTTGTCTTATTCCTGTGTTTGAAAGCCAGTGTGAATTCATAATCGGAAAGATCTGAAAATCGGAAAGCTCCTCCTACATGGCATGTGGTTTCATGTGCCATCCTAAGTCCACAAAGAAAGGTCAACATGAATAAAAAAAAATATTTTATGTAGGAGCTTACTGACTGGAGAAATCCTCCTTCAGATCAGTGTTTTATGTTCCACAGAATGCAATGAAAACAATGTTTTTTTAAATAGTTTGCTTGTGTTTGTTTGCCTGTCTGGAGCTCCGGCTGTTCAAATTGATTATAATAGTTTTTAAACCATAAATTCATACTTTTGTTTGTTTGGCACAGCTCATTTACAAGTCATGTGATATAAGCAAGAAGAATGTCTTAATGCACATTCTTACCACAAAGTATAACTTGATTGATGATGATAACTTGATTGGTCCTAACAAATGCAGCAACATCATATTCTCAAAAAGTAAAAGAAAAATAGGCCTGTAAATCTCTGATTTGACTGATGGAATTCTTGAGTATTTTTTACATGTTCATGTCTAGTTTCCTATATATATATATATATATATATATATATATATAAAGAGTACGTCTTTTTTGTTCAAAACTGCACTGTCATTTCAAATTCTTTATTAATGAGACTTTAAAGCTAAAACTTGACAATCTATGCTTTGTAAGCCAGCTTAAGACAAATCCAGAGAAATTGTTTGGTTTTGCGCTGTCCCCTTTACCTTTTTTTCTTTCTTTCGAAATATATTTCCCCGTGCAGTAGTCTTATTCAAATGATTACTCTTCCTTATCATTAGGGAACAATTTCAGCCTTTGAAAACAAGTTTAGAAAATCTGTTGATGTATTTAACTGCATTTATGTTGATTATCTGTGAAGAGATGCACCTGACAGAGGCTTGCCAATGTAAATTTACAGAAAATTACTGATAATTTACAATTAAAAAGATGATTTGTAAATACAACTGCCTAATAAAATAATACATGAAGACAGGATTGTTCTGTCTTGTGAAAACATGGTGTATGTTGTGACTTTATATTTAAAAAAAAGAAAAGTTAATTATAACTGTATTCATAACTTAATAACTGTAATATGTACATTACTGTATAAAGGTAATATTTCACATTAGTTAACAGTAGTAAGTATTACATTACTTACATTATGCTAATTAAATTAAAATATATTAAACTTAGAATTACTTATATATATATATATATAAATAATATTCATACAGGGAGGGACATGATATAATGAATGGGTTATGTATATAATATGTATATAACTTGTTGGCCAAAAAAATGTTGTGCGTGTTGTACTGGTAAACTACGTTATAGGGACAAAATGTCCCAGCAGGGATGCTAATATCCAAAATCCTTTTCTTTGTGGGGACATTTTTTGGTCCCCGTTAAGAAAAGAAAACCGTTTATAAATCATAGTGATGTTTTTTGAAAATGTAAAAATGCAGAAAGTTTTCTGTGATTGGTAGGTTTATGGGATGGAATATACATATATATTTTATTATAAAAATCATTGTGTCTATGGAAAGTCCCCATAAAACATGGAAACTCGACGTGTGTGTGTGTGTGTGTGCATACCCATGCCTAGTAGCTTTTCTGTAGACTTTTGCAGAACATAAGTTACAGTATACAGACATGACTTTCTAAAAACACCCCACTTTGAAAAATATTCAATCGAGTAAAAAGTAGGCATCTAGAAAACTACCAGCAGATGTCGCTGTAATCTTGAAGATGTTATCAGGGTTAACTGATAATGAACCTTTTCTGATATCTAACTCCTTAATTTGTTGTAATATCATCTGTTATGACCAACAGATGTCGCTCTAATATTGAAGACATTCATTATCAGCGTTAACTGATAGGCCCTACTGAACATTTTCTGATTTCTAACTTCTTAATTTTTGTAGAGGATCTGCTATTACAGTATTGGGCTGAATTTACATAATTTTGTTGAATAAAGACTGCTATTTTAAATCAAATAAATGGCTAACCATGTATGTAGATTTTAGCCCATGTTTAGTAATTGTTTTCAATATTTTATCCCCCCTCATACTTCGCGCCTCCTTTTCTACTAAGTTATAAGTCAAGTGGGAACTAGCATACTATTCTTAGTTTTTCTTTTATATGCCAGACAAAAAATGGTAAAAGTACTGCACACCTGCCGTAGTGCGTCATGGCGTAAGCAGCAACTCCTCCATGCGCATACACAACAGCATGGTAAAGTTACTCCAGGACCGGCTGTTTACGGTAAGCATTCATTAAGGGAGCACTGTTTCAAGATAAACAGAAATGTTCAGATGTAAACGCAGAAGAAACAAAGTTCATCTCTCAAGTTGCGCTTCGCTCTGGTATGTAAACAACAGACTCACCTGCACTAATGTGGATAGGATCTTATTTAAGTTGTTCACTGCATTTGTTGTCACTTTGGACGGTCTAAGAATATTTGGCTGCAGACATGCAGCCTATGTAAATAACAATAATTTTTAAAACAAGTTAAGGTAGAGTACCTATTTATTAGTGCTACCAAAATACACTTTATTAGTTATTGCACACTTTATTCAAGTTATGTTTACAAGAATGTTAAATGGCTGTGCTATTTGTTGAGGATGTGGTACAGCTAGTCTCCAGGCAGTGTGTAATCCAGTAAGCCGAAGATATACTGGGCTGTACCAGGAGCAGATTATATCCATTAATGCACATACATATATTTACCTCTTAAAACGGAGTAAATCTTGAGAATGCAATTTCCAGTAAACCTAACCAGATTGGTTTATACTCTTTCATTGAATTCCAACGAAACATCCCTTGTTTGTATTTAAGGATCCAACATATGGAATAAAGAGAAATTTGTAGTTGTTCTGTTAGTGTGCTAAGTCAACAACGGACATTTATTATATTAATCAAACTTTTTTTGTGTGTGTGTTTCTACAGTCTGTTAAGTATATTTTGTACTATAAAGGAAATGTTGTGCTAATTATATGTATGCACAAATTATTAATCAATTAGTAGTTGTTTCAGGTCATATTTGTTATTCTGCAGTAAAAAACAAATAAAACAAAACATTTGTAACATTTTTTTATTTCTAAATTATTTATCTCTTTCTTGTTCTCTTTTTCATCAATCATTTTCTTGGTTGTTATTCTCAGTTTTACTTTATGCCCTAAAAAGCCTTTGTTCATATCAGATAAATGTGTGTGTTCATGGATCAGTGTGTGTCCGTTCGTGCGTGTTGTGTCGATGTGTCCATGTCCTCTCACTGCCAAGCAATTCAGCTGACACAATGCAGGTCTCATGTTTCAGATATCTGTCTGCAGTGACAGTGCAAGCTTCTCCTGGTTTGCAGGGTTTCTCCCCCTCTTCCTTTCCAAATCAGAAGGAATTTTGACATTATGTGGCAGACACATTGTTTTGCTTGTTGTTGTGTGTCACTAAGCTATAACTCCTGCTTGCAGCTGCAGAAACTGTAAAAACTATTTATTAAAGGGACAGTTTTTCTTATAAAAGGGGGAGAAAAAAAATGGCATGAGTTACGCACCCTCATGCCATTCCATACCCTTGTCCATGTCTTTTCTCCATGTAACATAAAAGGATATATTTTAAATAATATAAAGTTTTCCTTGCTATTACAATGAAATGAGACTGACTGGAGCTTTCAAGATTAAAAAAATGATGCAAAAGCCATAATTGGACTTTAAAAGTATCATAAAACACTGTATGTATGCACTGTATTGTAAGTCAACTGATGTCATAATCATGTGTTGAATAGACAAAGAACTGGATCAGTCAAATCCAGTCATGAATGATTCATTCAAACCAGTTCATTCAAAAGATCCAAATCCCTTTATGCTTTATTTTTTGTTTTACTATAATTGTCTGTCGCTTTTCAGCCTCTCTTTTTTCAGGTGGTGTAGGCCTATTGCAGATCTACATGAGACTGCTTACCTTTATCTTCAGTAGGGGGCAGTATATGAAAAGATAAATCATGTGAGATTCATGATTGAAAGGTTTCCCTTACCTTTTAATCCCTGAATCTGTTAATCACAAATAACCAGACACAAAAGATTTTTTTTTTTTTTTTAAATCCAAGTGGCATGAATTTAAAATTGATACACGGAATAAAATGAGCATTTTGAACACAACCCTAAATGTACCAGTTTATTGTTATTATTATTACAACAATTTAGATTATTAGCGGTGTAGTATAATACAGTTTCTCAGCTAAACATGTCTTAGGTGATATGTTTAATGTGCTCTTGTCTGGTCTTGCTTTTCTAGTGTTTCCACTGCTGAGAAAGAAATTGTAGTGGTGGTATCGTCTATAAAAAGCTGCCATGACTCAGAAAACACACTTCCACCTGAATCAACAAGGTAAGAATCAGCAACTCTGCAGTTTCCTTAAATTATATATAAATTATAATAAAATGGTTTTGACTTGCATGCTCCCAGTTTCTGAATGCAGGGGGATCTTTATTTATATTTAGAAGTTTTTTCAGTGGGCATGTTTTTTTTTTAACTTTTCAATAGAAAAGTTTTTGAATGCTTGAGTTGATGAAAGAGAAAGGGAATAAAAAAGAAGTGGGAGGAGAGAAACAAAATAAGAGACTGAAGGCCTGGAAGCGGAGAGCAGAATGAGTGAGACAAGGGCAGAGAGGAGAAAGCGCACAGATAAACATTACTAGAACTTTTTTCCCTGTGTCTACAACATTTTTTTTTTTTGGTGAAAATTCTAATCTGCAGGTAAGAAAGTGAATACTTAAGCCTTATTTAGTTTTGAAAGACATTTGCTGCTGAGGTTTTTTTAGTGAGGAATGCATATTTTTATGGAAATCAGATACATTTTGAAAGCTGAGAATGTCACCACTTGAAATGTGCCTGCAATACTGTGAATATGAAGTATATGTATGTACTATTTTATTCTGAATTTTGAAATATTTTTCGTCTTTTTCTTTCCGTCTCAGTTTCATCCTGTGATTTTAAATAGTGTTTTCAGGCATGTTAGTTATAAACAGTCCACAGTCATACATTTTCATGTTCCTGGCTTGGAAGTATATTTTTATCTTATTATTGAACAGTTTTACTCACAAAAAAGTAGACATTCACTTTATAAATATGAACTTTAGTTTGAATATTAACACTCCAATCTCTCCACCAAAGTAATTTTGTTTTCTTTGTTTAAACAGACTGGAGTGAGATCACTGCTGACACTTTTCAGAGTAGCCCATTCAGTATCGATACACCATACGGGTACCAGCTCGACTTAGGCTTTGTTAAATACGTGGATGATATTGAGCGAAGTGACACCATTCGACGGCTGCATTTTAACAAGCGGCCCGGAGCGGCAAACGCTGCCTCCAAGTCGCAACGCATCTTAAACCCCACACACTGGAATTCTTCAGAGTCTTTGTCCTCAGTGAGCAGTGATGAAGCCAAGAAAACGTCTCCGTCTTCATCCTCTTCCTCTTCTTCTGTCAACAGAAGAAGACCCCCACTTCCCCATTCCAAACCTAAATCCTCCTGTCCAAGACCTGAGGTCCCTCAAGACCTAGTCACCTCTCAGAGGTATGTAGATGGGACGTCTGCCCCAGCCACACAACGTCCTACCCCAACCAAACCAAATCCTCTAGTGGAAAAAACTTTGATGGAAACATGCAAACGTTTGGAACATGAGAAAGGCTCGTCGCAGCAAGGACCTCCAGAACCACAGCCACGGCGTAGACTGGCCAGTTTTGGTGGTCTTGGCTCTAGTGGTACCCTATCTCCGTATACGAGCTGGAGTGCCCTAAATCAAGGTGCTAAGATGACAGTCCTAGACCAGCCCCAACAAAGTTCCTTGTTATTGGGGAACACCCTTAAAATCAGCCCCTCAAGCTCTGGCCGAGCATCTCCAGTGAGCGGTGTGAGCCCACTCCACCTGCAGATGGTCAGGGATCAGATGGCAGCTGCTTTACGAAGGTTAAAGGACCTGGAGGAACAAGTGAAGGCCATTCCTGTCCTACAGGTGAAGATTTCTGTTTTGCAGGAAGAAAAGAGACAACTGACCGCCTTGGTCAAGAGGCAAGATGAAGATCAAAAATCAGGCTCTATCATTGACAAAGATTTTAGCAGCAAACCAGCGATAGAGGGTTGGGAGCACGGTGCCATCTCTGGTCTGACGGATTTCCAACAGCTTAGTGTTGAAATGCAACTGCTTGAAAGGAAGATCCAAGATGCACGTCTTGAATCCTCTGCCTTCAAGACGAGAGATCAAAAGTCAGTTGCAGTTGGAGATGACAGGTGCATTGATGAAGTTGATGTTATTCATCAACACAAATTAAACTTTTGTAAGGATGTTGCTGTTGGTGCAAAACCTGAGACTCAGTCAGTGGCTGTCAGTGTCACTGAGACTATGCTGGGGGTTGTATCCAACAAGGAAGCAGAAACAGAGTTGCAACAGCAAACCATCCAACATTTAAGTGACCGGGTTCAGATACTGGAGGCTGAGCTTAAAGAAGCAATGCTAAAGGCAGAGATGGGCAAGCTAAGAAGTGAACTGCGGGAAGCAGAAGCAAGAAACCATGCTGACAAGAGTTCCTCCGCACAACCACAGGTGAACTGCGTTGCAACCCAGACCGGGTCGCAAACTCGCACTCTTGGGGTTGGAAACCACACCAACCTTGTGCATTCTGCTGTTGGGGGAGGACTAGAGCAGATTTCCATTGCTGTTGGAGTCTCCTGCAAACCGGAGGTGAGGGTTGTTTCATCTGGCCCAGATACACCTATGGAAGAGTGGGAAGTACGCCAAAGAGTGGCACGAAAAGATCAATGTGTTGGAAGCAAGCGTGCAGCAACACGAAATCAAGGTGTTGGGACAACAATGTACATGTGTGACACTGCCACAATTACTTTGGAGACAATTGAAAAGACGAAGAACATTTCCCACCAAACGGTGGGCTGTGGTGACTGCACGGTCGACATGGATGTCATAGCTGTCAAATCGCTCATTTCTCAAGGAACTGTCACTGACCCAGTGCGAAGCATTGACTTTAGTGTAATGGCAATTCCACAGACCTTATCGCAGCGTACCAGCACAGCCTTTTGCACCGTCTCGCGCAGCACCAGCACTTTGCAGGCCTGTATCTCTGAAGCCAGCACCAACACAAAGCACACACTCACCAGGGAAAGACATACCAATACAGCACACGCGATCACTCGATCTCTGGCGGTTGGGGATGGGAAGGTTTGCGACCGAATGGCTGCTGTTCAGATGCACTCTGTTGGAACCACAACAAGCTTGGGTAGAGACACAAACACCCCTGCTGTCCCTAAAGTGATAACACGAGATGTTGGTATCGGAATGGCAAATATCAATGAGAATATCCTCATTGGTCTCCATACACGAAACATTGCATGTGGTCCATCCCGTCTACCAGATCCGGTCAAGACGCGTAGCATCGGCGTGGAAGTGGGGGATGGGAGGATACGCGACATGGAGGGCCAGATGTTTGTGCAGACTGAGCCTGGACTTGATCATTATATAGATCGCATGCAGAAATTACTTAAAGAACAACAGGACCTGTTAACTGACAGCCACCCTGGGTCAAAACATGGGGTCACTCTCCAGTCCCACGGTCACTTAGATGAACAAGTTAAAGGTAAGGATGTGTATATTTGTGACCTTTTAAAAGCCTTTTTTTTGGTCAGATTTAGATGCTTTATGCGTTTTCAGCTAATTGCTTTCGTTCATTTTCTTTCTAATTTCCAGTCACTGCACAAAGCCAGTCATCAAATGAGACTACAATGGTTAAACAAAAGAATCAAATGGAATTGCAGATGTCCGCTGCTCTTCATGGTTTGTATTTACATGTGTCAAAGATAACTCAAGTTATCAAGCAAAAGTATTTCATCCTGGTCGAAAGGACTCCACCCGATAAAGTGCATGTAAGCTACAAAAATAAGCAGAAAAGAGGAGACTTTTTTTCAGAGCAATCTTTCTGCTGTGGAATTTGAACAGGAGGTGAAAATAGCTCTCTCTCTCTCTCTGGTTTGTCTTTTGGCTGAATAAGCCCTACACTTAGAATATTTGGGCTGCTGTTGGTTTGTGGAATGCTCTAATGTCCTTTGGTATGTGGCAGACACAGACATGAATACCATCCACTCTGGAAGCCTGCGCTGTGCATGGTTTCTGAAAGGCAGCAGTGCTTGTGTATCAGAAGTCCTTATTAAGGAAAAAAGAGCCTTTAGCAGGTGTTTTTGGTGTATAAAGAAGTGCGTGCGTGCTTAGGTGATGTCATTACAAACCAGGGCCAGGGAATGTTTTCTGGGGTTTTCAAGCTTCTTCATGACAAGGACCCGCAAATATGATGATTCCCTTCCACAAACCTTCTTTTCTTAATATATATTAGTTCCAAAGAAGGGAGATGAACATCGATCCTTTTGATTATCCTTTATCCATTTCCTTCAGGCTCACCCAGTGATGACCGCTGTCTTAGGTCTATCATGAAAAGGAAGAGCATCACAGATAGTACGAACCCTACGACTGCATCGCTAGGGTAAATAAAGGTTTTCATTATTTATTAAATTACTAATAAATTCAGCTCCGTGTCGCATTGTTTTGTTGAGCTAGAGCTCTTTTACCAGATTGGTTGTGTATTGCATGTCTTTTTTTTTTTTTTTTTTTATAATATGCATTGTACATTTAATTGTACATCTCTCTCTCTGTCAATATACAGTACACAGAGAGGTATTGTGGACCTCTTGTCTGAGGGTGGCGATTCTGAAAATGAAGAGAAGAAAAAAAGAGAAAAGAGAGAGAAAGAGGGCAGCACCAAAGATAAAGTGAAGTTTCCTAAAAGAAACGAAAGGTTCATGCTCATAAGAACAAGTTTTGTTTTATCAGTGTAAGATGAAACTGTTCAGCCAAAGTTATCATGGTACATTTCTTTTCTACTGTATAGGTATATATTTAGTGAGAAGATGCTTTCTGCCTGCCAAACTCTGGAGATTCACCGTAATGGTAGCAAGGTCATATCCAACAGAGAACTGGTGAGTTACAGAACAATAACTGAGATCTGTCTTTTAGGCTCAATCCCATTTCACCCCTTGCTCCTACCCCTTGTTTTCGAGTGTACCCCTTGGCCCTTAAAATAGAATTACAAGGGCCAAGGGGTTGAAAAATGAAACAACCCTTCATGAACTTGATAGGTCATCAGTCGTCGATGATGGCTCTGACGTTACGGAAGCGACGAGTTTTTACAGGATTACTCCATGACAACGACTGACAATGAGCGCCGCTGCTCTTACCTCTGAGGAAACATGATGATTATAATGTTCCTTCCTCGAAATGTATGTCTTTTCTGTTTCGGAAAGGTAATTTATTATACAATTTCTTAATTGAAATGACTATATTATTATTATAAGAGTAAATAAAGTGCATGGTGGTGTCATCTGGGGCTAAATTTAAATGTTTAACCGTTTGCGAAGCCAACTCGCCGGTGATTCGCGATGCATTCTCAGAACTTTCTCGTAGCCCTCCGTTCGGAGTGTGCCTCTGAAAAATCTCCGTTTCGAGGGCTATGTAGCTCTACCCCTTCGCCCTACCCCTCTATCGCAACAAGAATCAGGACACCCTACCCCTAGATGTGAACGCGCAAAACGGAGGGGTAGGGCCAAGGGGTGAATTGGGATTGAGCCTTAATGTCAGTTCTTTTACCGTTTCCGTGTATTTTTCTTTACTCTGCAGTTAGTAGAGGCTTTCTAAGAAGTGTCTGTAACATTTACAGCACATTGTATGAATGTGTTTTGTATATCCTTTATTATCAGAGATGGATTCCAATACTTTGAATCACTATTGTTTAATAGGCTTGTTTCTATGGCTTTTGCTTAGTAATTATTAATTTCACCTACATTATTAGTGGCTTCTATTTTTTCCAGTCGCTTTGTCTCACACAACAACAACATGTTCAGGAAGAGTTGAACCATCTCACGTGTGGGAATGAATTCTCAAGGTTAAAAAATATATAACTCAACAACAGGAAAGCAAAAGAAGGGCAAACCAAACTTAGTTTAGGATGTATTGTGGAGCTGCATTTCACAGTCGGAAAAACTCAGTTGTTGATGTATTCTATGTTTACTCAGTCTTCTCCTCCTCCCATAATTACCCACTGGCATATAGATCAGATTGTTCGGTGTTCTGTGGGATTTGGGAAGTTTAAAATTATAGCGTTGCTGTATTTTGTCTGTGTTAAAAGTAATTTAAGCCTGCTTGTGACGCCTGCATTCATTTATTTGGTGTCATTTTGTTCTTGGCATAGTATGTCTACAAAGTGTCCATGTAGTTTACACGAATACTCTACCCAACTTTTTGATTTAGTTTTTTCTGCATTTTATCTGTTTGTCTTTGCAAAAGTGCTCCTGTCTAGGCACAGTGCAGCAGGAGTGGTTCTGTGTGTCCAGTCAGAAGAGGGCATGTCCACAGATGGTGGAGGACTTCCTCTTCGCTTGCCGCCATGTCTCGCCAGACGTGCTGTGCTATGTGGCCAACATGGCTGACCAAAATGGCAACACAGCCCTTCACTACAGTGTGTCTCACTCTAATTTCAGCGTAGTAAAGATTCTACTTGCTGCAGGTACCGTGAATCCACTTTATTTTTCAATGCAGAAGTAAGCTATTTTCTGTGAATGTGCTAGACTTCTGATTCATTAGCCGCTATAGTAAAATCACTAGAAGAATAACAAAGTGCACTAAAACTATTTTTGCTACAAACCAGTGAATTTATAACCATGACAATACATAAAAATTATATGGTAAGAATTACCAGTTTGCAATATCAAGCTGCATAACAAGCTGTTTTGAACAGCTAAAAATAACTGGAAGCAGATGACACCAGAAGCCAGACACATTCAATTTACAAATGGCTGCTCTGCTGTTACATTAAAAATAAGGTGGGTTAACACATAATCCTTGATTAATCCAATGTGAAGTTACTTCCAGATTGTTACTTCTCGATATCTTAATTTAGCTGTGGTACTAATATGCTTGCAGGATCTGCATTGAATATTTCACAACCAAACATTACTCTATCGATCAAAAGTTTGTGGTCGGTGTTTATTTTTATTTTTTGATTTACTTTTATTCAGCAAGGATGCATTAAATTAATCAAAAGTGACAGTAAAGACAGCTTTCCTTTACAGGAATAAATTCGTTTTTAACATATATTAAAATAGAACACAGTTGGTTACACTTTGTTTTAAGGTGTCTTTGTTTCACTGTAATTATACATTTAAGTACCGAGTAATATTAAAGGCACAGTATGTAGTTTTAGCCTCTAGAGGTCGCTTATTCAAAACAAAGGCGTAGCTTAATGACTCCGTGAATGAGCGTGGAATCTTGGGAATTGTCGTCTTGACTCTTCACCTCCACAGCCGATGGAAAACAATCCAACGGACTCGGGCAGAAATCATGTTCATGGATGCTAATGTATTCAATTTGAACGAGAACGTTGGAGCGAATGCTAATGAAAGACATCTGCGATACATACCGGTCGAGTCCAGCGGAGCTGTTTTACATGGCTAAATAAATTAGTGTGTTGAAATTGTTATAACGTTACTTTTTGCTTTAGCTTGGTGGCTGGCATAACAGACTTGTTGCACTGTGTAGTAATCTAGTTCGATATTAGAATGTCATATTAATAAAAACTGGATGACATCTGTTGCTAAATGACATGCAATTAATTTTAGAGAATGGAGAAAGCTCTTTCTGATTATGCTGTTAGCCACTTGACAAAATAGTGTCTCTGAGGTAAAAACACGGTACTCGTGAGTCGTGGTAAATCAAGAAAACAAGCTATTGATATAATAAGACTAACCGTGTTCAGCTATATAACAATGATTAGTTTTCTGTTCATAAATGTATCCAAACAGTTGTTCACCTGTCAATAAAACACATAACATAAAGCGTCTTTGGTGTTTCCATGGTTTCAACGGAAATCAAGGGTAGCGCGGATATGACATAATTGACAGGCGACTCATGGACACGGTCCGTGTTCTGGTTAAAATAGATGATTTCTCTGGATTTAAACTGTTGGAAACGTTTGGGATAATGTAAGTACAAAATATATAACATTGTTCTAGTGATTTTTGGATATTTTAAACTAAAAACTTAAATATTGTTACATATTGTGCCTGTAAGTAACTACATGTATTTTGTTTAGGGTTAGTTGCATGTAATTTGTAATAGTTATTACTATAGTAACTACATGTAACATATGTAACAATGACACTTTAAAATAAGGTGTTACCCAGTTATTTTAAATTGTAACAATATTTCAGAATATTACTGTTCATACTGTATGTTTGAACAAATAAATATAGTCTTGGTGAGAATAAGAGACTTCTTTAAAAAACATTTAAACATTGTACTGACCCTTTGAATGGTTGTGGTTTAGAGTGTTAAATGCATCTGTTTCTAGAGCACAGTTTAAATAAACTGTAAAGAGACACTCGATTGTTAAAAAGGGTTAAAATTATGGATCCTTTAATGTTTTGTGGACAACCTAGGTGGATAATTAATTTGGTCTCGATTCCTTCTCGTGCAGGAGTGTGTAATATTGATCATCAGAATAAGGCTGGCTATACTCCTATAATGCTTGCCTCCCTGGCTGCCGTGGAAGCAAAAGAAGACATGATGGTGGTGCAAGAACTCTTCAGCAGAGGCGATGTTAATGCCAAGGCCAGCCAGGTATCTGTCTTTGTTTATATGAGTATTTAAACTCTTTCTCCCTAAGAGTATTCTTTTGTGTTTACTGGACTATTTTCTTCACAGGCTGGTCAGACCGCTCTCATGCTAGCAGTCAGTCATGGGCGTATAGATATGGTCCGGGTCCTACTGACTGCGGGGGCAGAGGTCAACATTCAGGATGATGAGGGGTCAACCGCTCTGATGTGTGCTGGTGAACATGGCCATGCTGACATTGTTAAACTCTTACTGGCCCAGCCAGGCTGTGATGCCACACTGACTGACAATGTGAGTAACCACATGGCTATCTGACAGAAAAGTTTTAATGCGTAATATTCTTCTCATTTGTGATTTAAATGTGTGTTCTTGTTTAAATGTGTCTATGACATTTGTGTTTGTGTTTTTGTTTGGTATGTTTTGTGTCTGTGTACTGGTAGGATGAGAGCACTGCTCTGTCTATAGCTCTGGAGGCCGGACACAAAGACATTGCTATGCTCCTCTATGCCCATGTCAACTACTCAAAGGGCCAACCTAGGGTATGACTCTTTCATATCTATGCCTGTACTTTCTCATAGCATTTCATTTTATGCCACCAATTACTCAAATTAGCAGCACAACTGTTTTCATGCTCATCCACAGGGATCCCCTCGAAGCAAGACTCCACCCGTTTCACGCATAAGCTTTTCTGATTAATATGACATTTTCCCATGCGCTCTTCATCTATTCATACATCCCCTCTGAACAATCTGTTCAATCATATGACTGAGATGAATATGACACATTATCTTCAAACAGATATAGTATTAAAGAGAGCAGTAGGTCTAAAAATGCAGTGCACTAACTGTTGGCAGTTATCTTTCTCAAATATAAAATTGTTATGCAGTTTACTAATAAAGACATTTTTTTAAATGCAACTGTTATACTTAGGAAACTGCATGTCAAAACAGTTTTATGTATTCATTTTAGGTAATATATAAATTATATGGACTTTATGATACTGTATACAATTTATTTTACTTTTAAAAGCTTGATTTAATTTCTTGTAATATATATTCCACTTGTTCTATGCATAAAATCTAGATTTTAGCAACTCTTTATAAAAATGTATTAAATGTAAATAACATGTTCATATATACGTAAATAAATATGTGCTTCACCACCTTGTGTTTATTTAAAAAATTCCAATACTTTCCTATCTTGTAGTATTTTAGATCTGAACAGTTATGACGCCATCTAATGGTGAAAAGCTGAAATGCAGGTGATCCACGGACGTGTGTGGTGTGTGGGGTTGCATCTCTGAGGAACAAATTTGCCAAAAATATGATTATTGTTATTATTATTCATAATACAGTTGGAATATAGGTAAACAAAAAAACAACAACACAAACAGTGTTTTGCAATCATTCATGAATGAATTATTATTTTATTTTTGTCAAATTAATCGGACAAACTGGTTAAGGACCTGAATCTTTTCGTGATTCAGTCTAAATCATTCGAACAGCTCAATCACAGACTCGATTAATTGTTTCTCACTACATGAGACGGTTAACAAAACACTTTAACAATAACAGAGAACAATAAGAGCGCTGGATGAAGTGGATTTACCTACAATTATTAAAAAACAAACCTGCAATCTATTGTTTGTCATTGATAAAGAAGGTCTTTATCAAGTTCAACACCTGCATATGCGGTGGAAGACAGCAGGTAAAGATATACTGACCAGACAATAGTACATTACACGAAAACACTAGAAGTACCATGATATTACCATGCAAACATCTATTTTTTACAGTGTTATAACAAGGGGTCAGTTACCAGCAGCAGCTCTACAGGGACGTGCAAGGGGCTCAAATGTAAAAAGAAGGGGGGAAAAGGGTGTGTGTGTATATATATATATATATATATATATATACACTCACCGGCCACTTTATTAGGTACACCTGTCCAAATGCTCGTTAACACTTAATTTCTAAGCAGCCAATCACATGGCGGCAACTCAGTGCATTTAGGCATGTAGACATGGTCAAGACAATCTCCTGCAGTTCAAACCGAGCATCAGTATGGGGAAGAAAGGTGATTTGAGTGACTTTGAACGTGGCATGATTGTTGGTGCCAGAAGGGCTGGTCTGAGTATTTCAGAAACTGCTAATCTACTGGGATTTTCACGCACAACCATCTCTAGGGTTTACAGAGAATGGTCCGAAAAAGAAAAAACATCCAGTGAGCGGCAGTTCTGTGGGCGGAAATGCCTTGTTGATGCCAGAGGTCAGAGGAGAATGGCCAGACTGGTTCGAGCTGATAGAAGGGCAACAGTGACTGAAATAACCACTCGTTACAACCGAGGTATGCAGCAAAGCATTTGTGAAGCCACAACACGCACAACCTTGAGGCGGATGGGCTACAACAGCAGAAGACTCCACCGGGTACCACTCATCTCCACTACAAATAGGAAAAAGAGGCTACAATTTGCAAGAGCTCACCAAAATTGAACAGTTGAAGACTGGAAAAATGTTGCCTGGTCTGATGAGTCTCGATTTCTGTTGAGACATTCAGATGTTAGAGTCAGAATTTGGCGTAAACAGAATGAGAACATGGAACCATCATGCCTTGTTACCACTGTGCAGGCTGGTGGTGGTGGTGTAATGGTGTGGGGGATGTTTTCCTGGCACACTTTAGGCCCCTTAGTGCCAATTGGGCATCGTTTAAATGCCACGGCCTACCTGAGCATTGTTTCTGACCATGTCCATCCCTTTATGGCCACCATGTACCCATCCTCTGATGGCTACTTCCACCATGTCACAAAGCTCTAATCATTTCAAATTGGTTTCTTGAACATGACAATGAGTTCACTGTACTAAAATGGCCTCCACAGTCACCAGATCTCAACCCAATAGAGCATCTTTGGGATGTGGTGGAACGGGAGATTCGCATCATGGATGTGCAGCCGACAAATCTGCGGCAACTGTGTGATGCCATCATGTCAATATGGACCAAACTCCCTGAGGAATGCTTCCAGCACCTTGTTGAATCTATGCCACGAAGAATTGAGGCAGTTCTGAAGGCAAAAGGGGGTCCAACCCGTTACTAGCATGGGGTACCTAATAAAGTGGCCGGTGAGTGTATATATATGTAATATATAATATAATATAAGTACACTGAACAAAATTATAAACGCCACACTTTTATTTTTGCCTCCATTTTTCATGAGCAGAACTCAAAGATCTAAGACTTTTTCTATGTACACAAAAGGCCTATTTCTCTCAAATATTGTTCACAAATCTGTCTAAATCTGTGTAAGTGAGCACTTCTCCTTTGCCGAGATAATCCATCCACCTCACAGGTGTGGCATATCAAGATGCTGATTAGACAGCATGAGTATTGCACAGGTGTGCCTTAGGCTGGCCACAATAAAAGGCCACTCTAAAATGTGCAGTTTTATCACACAGCACAATGCCACAGATGTCGCAAGTTTTGAGGGAGCGTGCAATTGGCATGCTGACTGCAGGAATGTCCATCAGAGCTGTTGCCCGTGAATTGAATGTTCATTTCTCTACCATAAGCAGTCTCCAAAGGTGTTGCAGAGAATTTGGCAGTACATCCAACCGGCCTCACAACCGCAGACCACGTGTAACCACACCAGCCCAGGACTTCCACATCCAGCATCTTCACCTCCAAGATCGTCTGAGACCAGCCATCCAGACAGCTGCTGCAATAATCGGTTTGCATAACCAAACAATTTCTGCACAAACTGTCAGAAACCGTCTCAGGGAAGCTCATCTGCATGCTCGTCATCCCCATCGGGGTCTCGACCTGACTGCAGTTCGTCGTCGTAACCGACTTGAGTGGGCAAATGCTCACATTCGATGGCGTCTGGCACTTTGGAGAGGTGTTCTCTTCACAGGTGAATCCCGGTTTTCACTGTACAGGGCAGATGGCAGACAGCGTGTATGGTGTCGTGTGGGTGAGCGGTTTGCTGATGTCAATGTTGTGGATCGAGTGGTCCATGGTGGCGGTGGGGTTATGGTATGGGCAGGCGTATGTTATGGACAACGAACACAGGTGCATTTTATTGATGGCATTTTGAATGCACAGAGATACCGTGACGAGATCCTGAGGCCCATTGTGCCATTCATCCACGACCATCACCTCATGTTGCAGCATGATAATGCACGGCCCCATGTTGCAAGGATCTACACAATTCCTGGAAGCTGAAAACATCCCAGTTCTTGCATGGCCAGCATACTCACAGTACATGTCACCCATTGAGCATGTTTGGGATGCTCTGGATCGGCGTATACGACAGCGTGTTCCAGGTCCTGCCAATATCCAGCAACTTCGCACAGACATTGAAGAGGAGAGGACCAGCATTCCACAGGCCACAATCAACAACCTGATCAACTCTATGCGAAGGAGATGTGTTGCACTGTGTGAGGCAAATGGTGGTCACACCAGATACTGAATGGTTTTAGTACGTTTTAGTTTCATCAATATTTGAAAGAAATAGGCCTTTTGTGTACATAGAAAAAGTCTTAGATCTTTGACTTTGAGTTCAGCTCATGAAAAATGGGGGCAAAAACAAAAGTGTTGCTTTTATAATTTTGTTCAATGTATGGTCAAAGTTTGGACACATTACTATTTTTAATGCTTTTGAAAGAAGTATCTTATGCTCATCAAGCCTACATTTATTTGATCAAAATACAGAAAAAAACAGTAGCCTAATATTGTGATATTACTATTTAAAATAACATCAAAATAACATCAATTACATAACATAATTACATCAAGACAACAAATGTATTACAAGTTTTTTAAAATTGTTTGTTAACATGGGCAAATGGTGCATAATCTAATTAAGTATGTGCTAATTTGCATAAATACCAGAACAGATCTAAACATTGGATATAGCCAGGTGAAAATGTCTTGAATCTTGTTGACATCTTACAGTAAAAGACTAGAGGCAAACAAATGTCACCATAAGGGGCAGAGATTCAGTCATTCATTCAAGGTCCACTCAACTGTCACTAAGCTGTCACTCTGGTAAGAAAGATTTCCTTTTGTTTCTCCTCCATGGATTAATTTGATTGTTTGATCCAGCCACTTTTTATTATACCTTCCTTTTGTCTTCTGCATTCTCCTTACCCATGTCTCCTGTTCTTCCCTCAGACTCATCCCCCAGAAACAGTCCCACGGACCCAGCCTCAAACCCCATCTCTGCAATAATAATTAATAAAGGCTGGTTTCTAAAGTACTTCTTCCTGCCTCTGTGTATTAATCAGCCCGTTCTCATCCTTTGGCGTCATACATGTGACGCTTTGGACATTTCGTTGAAATCTTACGCACATGGCATCCTTTAGCATCATTATGAGATGCAGAACCCAAGGCGTCATACAGGTGACGCTCGTCTAAATCCAACGCACATGGCATCCTTTAGCGTCAATATGAGACGCAGATCCCAAGGCGTCATAACCATACCCTACCCCAGACCTAAACCTACCCATAACAGTGCGTGTTATATTGACGCTAAAGGATGCCATGTGCGTAAGATTTCGACGAAATGTCATATGGCGTCACCTATATGACGCCAAAGGATGAGGGTTCCATTCAGACCTTAACATTAAGTATTTTACTGTTATATGTCAACAAGATATTTTCACCTGGCTATACCCAATGTTTAGATCTGTTGTGGTATTGGTATTTATGCAAATTAGCACATACGTAATTAGATTATGCACTGTTTGCCCATGTTAACAAACAATTTCAAAAAACTTGTAATACATGTTTTGTTTGTCTTGATGTAAGTAATCAACTCAGTCATTTTCATGATGATATCTAAAGGTTAAAATTTTTACCCTTTTCACGTGAGAAAAAGAATGAATAGGCGTATGAATAGGCTATATGG